GGTCGGTCTCGGCACCGGTTATCATTTTAGCTTTCTGATTGGTCGTTTGGTTTGGCCGCGCTTTTTATAACAAGGTTATAGGGTAACAGTTTTTAAAAAGTGCGGCCAAACCAAACGACCAATCAGAAAGCTAAAATGATAACCGGTGCCGAGACCGACCTCAGAATGCTAATATGCTGAGGGGTCACAGATATATACAATAATTACATATGTAATTATTTTATTGTTTATCTGTGTGCAGTGGCGTGGCAAGCATATTTCAAACCCTAAGCAAAGTATTTAAACAATGACCCACCCCATCCTATTGCTACATAATAATTATGTATATAACTATTCAACTGTACCACCTATAACACTACTTTCTTTAATTCCTTTCAAATACCTAACCTATCTACCATATATGCATATTTTATTATTTTTCAATGCATACAATTTCAATGCATAATTAATTTAATTATTTAAATAAAATATGTTCACAAATACATGAGCCAAGAGGTACCCAGCCCCTTAGGTTTCTAAGGCTAAGCTATTGCGTGAGGCAAACGTCGTTCACCACATCACTGTGTGTGTGACTTGCATTATCATGGCCCTACCTAAAAATACCTAGCCCTATCAATGGGCATTGGTCTAATCTTAAACATAATAATATGATTGTTTTTAATAAGCATAAAATTGTATAGCACTACTAACAACTTCAATTCGTGTCTTATCTGTATTTATAATTTATTTGCAAGGATCGACCTTGAAATTGCTGGTTTCTCACTGGGACCTTACCTAGAAAAATATAACATCGCTGCCACTGGAATAAAAACATTTAATATTAGTTTTAATTTAAAAGCTTTACATTTTTCCACGACGTCCTAGAGATTCGACTATCAAAAATCGCTTCTGTTATGTATAACAAACCGTGACATTTTTATTGACCGTTTAGGTGGATAAAATATGTGTTTAAATGTTTTATATATATGTATGTATGTATTTTTGCCTTGTACGAAAATACAGAATGAATTTTATTCACTCTGCGATGAATCTTTGTACGACTTTAACTATCAATTTTTCGTTGTTACAGAATTACTTATAGTATAGTTTTTAAATATATACAAGCACGTCATATTCATATGCTGTAGGTAACTTAAATTATATTAGATAATCTATCAATAAAATGGCTAAATAGAAATATATTTTAATATAAATAATAAAAGCGTTAGTTTATTATACCTAAATTAATTAATAAGTTAAATGCAATCTTTGAAAAGAAAATTATTTAATACTTATTAAGTGAGGATACTAAGTCTTATTGGCTAAACCGCCTAAATATAATTAGATAATATATTTTACAGTAAATTAAATATTGACATTTAATGTCTTGATTATAAACATGAAATGTAGAGTATTTTATAGGTAAACGTATATTAATTAAAAAAATGTTATAATTTATAGCTATAACGACTATAACCACTGATCTAATAAGATTTTTTAAAACTTTAATGTGAGCGATATATTCATGAGTTTGAAATGGTATCAGGTACGTAACATTTCTTAAAATTTATGAAATTATTAAAATGGTATTACTTTTGTGAAAAAATACATGAAAACATAAGTATATAATATATGAATATTTTTATTTATATTTATATTATATTTTATAAATATTATCCAAACTGAAGTGGAAACTTGAACGTTTTAATTTATACATTAATACATTTTATGATGATTACATTTATAAAAGATATTTTATTTTAAAAGCTTTTTATATTATGGCGGTACCTTTTGGTATATTTCTACTTGCCGTTGAAGTCCTTGGACATGCTTATCTAGAGAAATATGTTGCAAAATAGTAATTTTTTTTTGAGGCAACACTTTTACTTCACATATTCTACAAAATAAAATTGTGCCGTCGGTAAAAAAAACATCCTTTCCAAATTCATCGACGTATAAACGTAACCGATGTGAAGTTAATGCTTTTACTTCTGGCATTGTTTCACAAAATTAAATTAACTAATCTAATACAAATTACACTTTAATTAAATTTGATATACCACAAAACTAACTTTCTAATAATTACTGCACTACTGTAATTCTTATCGACCAAATAATAGCAGCCAGCGAGGTATGTATAAAAATCATTAATACGCCTACATACCTTAAAGATAACAATATGATTGTCTTAAAACACAATGATAAATGTTCAAACTTATTTATAGAAAGATTTTTTTTTAATATATTTTACCAGAAAAAAAATAGGGGGATAAAAGATGTGTTAAAAGATTTAAAAGATACTAATGTTTCATTTGCAAATAAAAATAAAAACTATCACTGTTTTGATTAATTTGTAACAAAAATGTTAACAATAATTAAGTAAAATCTTCTTTGAAATTCTACATTTTTTTATGAAAACAAAAGAAAATGCTTGTATATTAGTTGTTCTAGTTTTAGTTTAATATTTGAAAGAATTTAATCAATATATTTATTGTACTTAATTATTTAATCCTGTTATTACAGTAACTTGTTTTGGAAGATTTAATATTTTTTTAAATTTTTTAGTTGGAAAAGTGAAATTTTTGTTCTAAAAGGCAACACATGGTTTTTAAAAACATGAAATACCACAATATTATATATTATATATACAATGTACCAGACTTAGGTAAAATACTTTTTAAAAGTATTTAGGATAAATACTCAAATACTTACAAAAATTAGTATTCCGAACATGTATTCAAATACTTTATACAAATTGTATTCCGAATACATTATTTAGAATACTTCAAAAGTACTTGGATTACTTTTAAAATACTTCTAGTTTTCATCAGCGGTGGATTAAGGAGCAGCAGTGGCGCACACAGAATTTTTTTCGGGGGGGAGGGGTCAAGGTAAAAATATAACACATTTTACAATTAACAAAATTATGCAAATCCTTTATATATTTTGACTTAAATAATAGCATTGATAATAGAATAGACTATTCTATAATCAATGATACTAGGTATTCAATACTAGCTCTTTATATTTCAAATTTGTAAAATTTATAAATTTTAACCTAGACATTGGAGAAAATTTCGGTGGGGGATTACAATCCCTTACTATAAAAATAATAAATGTCCACTCAACAGAAATATTTGACATTGTAAACTAAATATATATTATTTTATTGTATTTTTATATTACATAACTATTATAGTTTATGGTTTACAACAATAATAAATATCTGATATTGGCTTATACAAGATACGATGGAGAAGTAATAATTTAATAATCATTTAAAAAAAAGTAAAATATAAACAACAAATTTTTAAAATATAAAATAACTTTGTAACTCTTGCGTAAATAAAATAACAATAAAACAATATTAATAACAAATCTTTAGAAAATAAAATAACTTAGTAATTCTTGTAAATATAAAATAATTAAATAATATAGATAACAAATCTTTAGAACAGAATAAAATAGATAAATACATTCTAAAACCTAATAATAATTAATAGTTATATTTTTTTATGGTACTCTTCAAAGCAACTTTCAAGACACAAACCCGGTTTTTCATTGCATTCCATACAATAATATATTGTATCTTTACGAATGCCTTTTCCTGAACAAATTTGACATCGTTTGTATTTGTATTTTTTTTTATCATTTTTTCCTACTTTTTTAGGAAGATGTTTTTCATTTTTTTTTTTCGTAATTCGAGTATTATTATCCAGATCGTTTGGTAATAATGCTTCAATCACTGACAGTCTAAACTCGTACAACGATGTCTTCTTTGCATATTTATTGTATAAAAAATAAGAATTTAGCAATAACAAATGTATACAATGTATACCAATTTTTTTATACCATCTTATAGTCTTTCTTTCAAACGGGTAGTACGAAGTCATCTGATCTTGGCGATCTATTCCAGACATATGTTCGTTATATTTTATAACTGAAATTGGTTTTTTTATATTTCTATTTTTTTTAATTTCTATCATTGAATGAGGAAATTCAGAACTTATTGTCAACACATCCCTTTTATCTTTCCATTTCACAACACAAATGTTATCCTCTGTATATCTGCATATTGACTCTCCCTTTTTTAGTTTTTGAGCGATAACTTCACGTGGATTATGCTTACGTTTTGAGTGTAAGGTTCCCGTAACATAAGTTTTTTTTTGTAATAATTTTCGAGAAAGCTGAACACTGTTATAAAAATTGTCCATATATAATGAATGACCTTTGTAATATAACCCACTCATAAGATTATCGACAACAAATTCAGTATGAGTCATACCCTCAGAAATATTGTGCCCTTGTTCGGAATAAATCATTATTTTATGTATAAGTCCCCACGATTCTGTAAGCATATACATTTTTATTCCAAACTTATGTTTTTTATTTTTTATATTCTGTCGAAATATTAACCGTCCACACCATAATACCATCGACTCATCAAGTGACAAATTTTTAGTTGGTTCAAATATTTCGTTCATCCTTGCATTGAAGTAATTCACGATAGGTTGAATTTTGTGTAATTTATTACGAGGAATAGATTCTCCTTCAGCTGGGTTGCGTGAAAAATGTAATGCTCGGAGTAATACAGTAAATCGATTTCTACTCATATAGGTACGAAAAAACGGTAAATTAAATAACTTCTTTGTTTTCCAGTAATCCTCTAATCTAAGTATTTTAATTGTTCCCATATGAAATAACAAACTTAAAAATGTTTTCATTTCCGATCTATTTGTATTTACCCAATCACTAATTCTAGACTTGTCAGAGGCAGAATTTAAAAAAATTTCAATAGCATAAATATTAGTTTCATCTACAAGAATGTCTAATAATTCATCAGTAACTAATAAATTAAAATAATCAATTGGATTGTCTCCATTTGGTAAACACTTAAGTCCAGGTGTAGCTGTATATTCAAAATGGTTTATATTTTGTGAGGAGTCAATGGACCAGTTAAAATTTGTAGAACTATACATTTCAGATAAAACCTCACCGACTTCATTCCCTCCAAAACCCACATAATCACTCATAACAACATTTTGTAAATCGATACCTTCATTTTCTCCATCATCGCCATCAGAATTATAGCTACATTCTGATTCATCATCAAATTCTTCTTCAGACGATATCCATTTATCGTTTTCCAAAATATCAAGTAGTTCAGCATCCGATAATATGTGTGTTTTCATGCTTTTGATGGGACTTCGAGAGCGATCAACTCTTGATGAACCGGCAGGAAGATCCATGTTATTATAATATAAAATAAATAGATACTAAATTATAGAATACGAATTATAAAAGAATAATATGTCTAGAAAAACAACAGTGTGCAAATTGCAAGGGTACTGGAGTTGTTTTCAATATAGCTTAACGAAAATTCACGGGAAACACAAACCAACTGCAACGTATTGTTTATTAATACGTTCTGAATGGCCATGATAAATATTGAAGCTGTGTTTCTATAGCCGAATTATTTATAAACATATCTAAATATAAGTGCTAGTGACGATCACGGATCGGCGGCGGCTATCAGCGCGCTACTACTAAAATATTTTTGTTTATAAGCATTTAAAGTTCAAAAGTATTTTCTTCGTGTATATTGAATTGTGCATGCGCGTATGGACGTTAGAACATTTCTAAGAATTGTAGTATTTCTAGCTATAACATAAATATTGTATCGTTTATTTATCATAGTACCAAATACATTTTTTTTTTATTTTCTTTTACTGCATGCTTATAAAAAACGAATAAATTAAAACAATTATTTCCTACAAAACATAGACAAGAGAATAAAGAATTCAAATGTGTTTTCAAAATTAAAATCAGGATTTAGTTACCGGATGAATTTTTCTTCCGCTTTTTGATTCGAATTTGCGAAAAAACGACCAGCTCTCAGCAGGTTTAAATGATTAGGTAGGTAATAAAATAATAATATATATATATGTATATATAAAATCCAGATTTGTACATCTGATTGTACAGTCCAAATAAATAAAGTCCATATTTATACAATCTAGATTTTAAATTCCATATATATACGGTCCAGATTTATATGCGCTCCCACAGTATTATTTATGTCTTATAGTACTATACTGTCCAAACTACTGTCTATATTATAATAATATTAGATCCATCAAAACGGGAAGTTGTGCAAATTAATATAATGTAAAGATAAAATGTTCATTTTGATTATTATTGTAGTTCCGGGAATTCGATGTACGATGGCATGTTAAACGCGATAACGGATTACACATACTAATGTTCATTTACTACTCACACATTGACACAGCCAAAATGTTCATGTGATATAAAATGCCTAAATATTACTCCTTAAAACTTGCTACGCTCCAGCCCCTTTAATCAATAGTTGTTCTAATTTAAAAAATTTTTTCTAATTTAAGCAGGGAAATTTTGATATACTTTTTATTTATAGGTACCTAACCAGAAAAATAAGTGTTTGAACAATTTTCCAAAGTAACCACAGCTTCTTATTCTAATTGAATACTGTCAATTTTCCATGAATTTACTATTGTTTTTGTCGTCAGTATAATTTATCGCTTCTCATAAGCAAACATACCAGCTCGTATTACCACATACTACCAAGTACTATAATCGTGGTTATCATCGCGTTTGTGATAGTGTTTAAAAATACTGTAGTGCTACCTGAATTCAGACTCCCCGACTATTATATTTGGGCTCCCATTTCGACGATTTATCATTAACAGTTTTTAACGTTGCGTGGGCTATCTATTGTATATTTAATCAATGCTATTAGTATTTAGTTAATTAATATTGATGGGAATAATTTTTGTTTGTACTTAGTATTAAATTTAGGTTAATGATTTTAAATTCATATGTTACTTAAATGTACTTTTATGTAGGCCAGGGTAGTCGCAGGGACTGCTCCAGTTCACCTCTGGGAATGGGCGCCCAGAGAGGGGGATGGGCAAGACGGAACATTTTCCCTCCCCTGGATAAAATTAATTAAACAGTTAATAACAAGGTTTGCAATTGAACAACTGCGAAGACTTCAGTTTTTATTTAATAACGACTAGTGTGTACGAGTATAATTACTTTTATAATTTTTAATTTTAATTACTTAAATTGAATTAAATGAATTTATATATAATTTATTTATATTTAATTAAATTGAATTATTAATTACTTTTAGTCGTATAATTCTGACATATTTTATTGTTTGCTAAAAATACATTTTTTAATATACTTTTTGGTGTTTGATTTAATTATTCCCCCCCCTGATAAATTTTCTGCGAGCGCCCATGCCTCTGGGGGTGTGTTATACCCTGCAGACTACATATAAATTATAAGATCTATATAATATTGTATGATTTCATATGAATTGAATGGTCAACGTGACTGTCGAGCCATGGGAATTCGCTGGATCAGCGAATACTGTGACTCGACGGAGTCACTACATTATTGGTCATGATTATTCGTCAACCGTATACTTGTGTCATTATTCATAGCATCTTGTATTTTAGTTTTAGTTAGAATATCATTTACATTCTTTAAGTTATTGCATTTAAGTATTTAATCGAATTTCTTTATTTATAATAAATACTTTACCACCTATAAACAACACTTTTTCTCTTTCGTCTTAAACCCTCATTATAAAAGGTATCATTACATCAGTATCATAAATGCATTACGGTATGCTATGTTCAAGGTGTACCTATATTTAAATAATAAAAATAATAAATACTCTTTTTTCAAAAAAAAATGTACTTGTTTCTTTGAACCACAAACGCTTATAGAGATTTTTATTATTTTTACATAAATTCTATGGCCAAAATAATTAGTGTTTTTATTTTACTTAACTTGATTATAACCATTCATCACTAATGCATAATGCACTACAGTGTACACCACATTCTTCCATCATTATGCATACGAGTAGTATTCATCAACAATTTAGATGACGTGATATGAAAAATAATTTTGAAAAAATGTTATCAAGCAATGAAAAATATTTTCTCAAAAAGGCAGTGGTTGTTATCTACTTTCCGACCTACCTATGAAATGCAGATAGGAAGTGATGAAGAAATTCGGTTTTGTTTTGTTAACTTGATCACGTAGCGTAGGCTAATAGATTTGTGTTCAACGTTGTCATTTAACTGACAACGGTTGATAAAAGTAACTGGAGTAAAATATTTACTTTGGAACAAACAAAAATGGACTTGAAGTTAAATATAATAATATTAATTCTCGTTTACACCAAGTTCCGTAATATTTTCGTAAAAGTTTGCGAATAAACCCGTGAAAGTACGGAAAAGTTCGCAATCAAGCATATAAAACAAATTAAATGTTACTTTATGATTTACAGACCGACGCGGAAGAACAGACTCGTACACGACCCACTTGGACGAAACGCATCAATGTCCGGGACGCATGCACCACCCGGGTGCTATGTAAACAAACGGTCGTAACGCGTCGCACGAACACATTCTAGAAAACGGCGGTAGCGGCGTGGTCGTACGGTGAACAAAGCGCGCCGATTGTGTTCGGTTCGCTGCTACGAGAAGCGTTCACATCGAAGCAAATTGTTTTGTTCGTTGCACTTTCCACGCATACCCTTGCGCCAAAGTTTAACCATATTTTGTGAGTTGTATTTTCACGCTAATGCGTCACAGTTGCATACATTCATGTCATGCGATTATAGTTCATTACGAACCGTGTAGCAGAGTAACATTCTGTACGCGGTGCGTATGGTGTAAACATGCGTACCCTCACGTTATTCTTATTGTTACATTAATCGTTCGATTCTGAAAAGCTCATTACGAATCGTTGACGCACGCCATGTTCGGTGCTCGAAATTCGAATTCAAAACACGACGCACACAAAAACGTGCTCCAAAACGTGGACGTAGAGCGCAAAGTGTGCGTGCGGGTGCGTCGCCGACAAATGCAAATAACCCGTCGCAGCGACTTATTATTATTATCGTGTACGCGACGAAGACGACGACAACGGTTTTTGCCGTTTCTCCCACTACCGACCGTTACTTCTATAACCACCGCGGCGGCTTGCCGTAACGGAGCCCAACCGAACGGCGACCGCGGTGTTGACACCCACGCACGCGCGTCATGCCCACGCTCCGGACCGAACCCGCGAAGTTCGTCGTGGCACCACCGGCGGCCGTCGCCACCACCACCGTCACCAACACCACGGTAACGCCAGCAACCGCAAAGCGCGCGCGTGTTCAGTGAAATCCAACCGTTCGCGCCCGTCGTGCACCGTTCCTCTCGCCGCAGTCTGCCGCAACCAGCGCGTCGTATCGCTACGATTTTCCGCTCGCAATCGTCCGCCGTCCCTACACACTGTTTTCCCGCCGATTCGCGCGTGTCGTTGGCGTCTTCAACGCCACCAACCAACCGACCAACACCGCACGTCGTTGCCCGCAAAGATCCCGTGTCCGTCTACACCGCACGCGTTCGTTTGGTACATGACACCGCTTCGGACGAGGTACGTTCATTCATGCCTTTTCAACGTTGTCCACCTGTAACCGATTTATTGAACCTATAGACAAACACACTATATTATATACGTAACCTATCCGATACACCACATTTGTCACGTCTTGGAGAACTTTACTACGTATTATCAGTTCCATCATGGAACTATTCATGGAAGTTCCACGGAAACGATTTTGATTTATAGTATAAACTTTTACTGTTCAGCTAGGTGTAAGATTACTGGGGCCGTTTTTATTCGAAATATCCTCAAATTGTTTCTAGTATATATTTGTAAGCAGAGGATGAGGTACAGGTAGTAGTAACGCAACTTATTCGTGCCCAACCCAACCTGACTTATAAATGTGCGATCAAATGCATGCTTTTGGATACTGCATTTTAATTAAATTAATCGACATTAACCCCAACGAAAAAATATTCGGAAAGTTTTATTGAAAAATTTAATATTGTACATGAAAATGGTTTAGTATCTATTATTGAACTTTCTAATCGACTCATTTGTGCAAAACCTGAAGTATACAATTTATAATTGAAACTATCTATTCTCTTCCCAAAATGGAGTTTTCTGTAGTTGGTGCTAAAGGCTCATCAAGAAAAAGAGAAAGTGTGCATTAAAAAAATATGATAGCTTTCAAAAATCAGTTTTTCTCATAATTTTATCACTCAGTTTTACATTTAAAATTTGTAGTTAATAAATCGTTTCGTTTTTATCATTGTATTGTGTAATTTTAAATATCAATAGGTGTAAATTTTGTAAGAATTATATTACAAATTTCTACCACAGAAATATTTTTAAACGAACATACATTTTTTGACCAATAAGTTATAACTAGTAAAGTCATAACACTGAATATTTATGATAAAATAAAGTAAATTATTTAATTAAAATTATTAAAATATCAGATAATGAAATGTTTTCTCAATAAATTCAACAATAATTCATTCAAGATTTCTACATAATAGACTGAGTTCCCGTTAACTCATCATGTAATACGAATACATCGGAAAAATTAAAAAAAATAACTACTAAAACTCAATATATGAAACAATATAATTAAATTATTAGCAACCACAAACATTATCGTAGTGACTCGTATACTTTAATTATTTCTTACTGTCTATCTAAATTTCAATGTTAAGTCAAGTTTTTTAATTCCGTAATTCCATATTTTGTTTTTTTTGATAAAAAAAATTGCTCAAATTGGCACATTTGATAAGACAGCCTTAGGTTACCTGTTATAGTATATTTATTAATATAACACCATTATTATATTGTTTGATATTTAAGTTTATTCATAATAAATTACATTTCTACTTTCTTTATTATGATATAATAAAAATACTTCTAATTTGTTCATCAACAATGTGCCATGATTTTATTTTGTTGTAAACTTCTTGCGAGTGTTTATTTTACTGTAATTTATTTCTTTATATTCTGATGATCATGATAATAAAATCCAAAATATCATAAATATTAGCAGATATTAAATGAAAACTGTCAAAAGTAAGATTAATAAATAATAATAATTTGTTTGATAGTGAAAAATAGGACTAATTTCAATAATAAAAACACCTTGGCCAGGTCTTAAAGAATCATACTTTCGAAATGAACTCCACCAGTTTTATAAGACCATAATATATATATATATATATATATACGCGAAGGCGTCTGCTCTTATACCACAGCGTTAATAATAAATATATATGATAAACATTCAGCCTTTCTATGCCGTTTTTTGCTGTCTTACTGTACTGTCTTCCCATTTTTCAAATCCAAATTTAACCGCTGCTGACTCAGCCGTCCGTGGACTCACGCCAACACTAGGAATAGCATTTGATATTTTTTATATCGCTTCCTTCAATGAAATCGTAAGAATAAAAAAAATACTCGGCACGCTCCTAGTTTTTCAACGATAAAACCAATTGGACATGGAAACTATGCCAAACATATAAGATGTGGGTGTCACTTGGTTATTAAATCTCCCTTCACTTGATTCCACCACACTATAAATGTCTTAATGTGATAACTTCCGCCGTGAGGCACAATTTATAATTCGCAATATTAGAAAAAATCGTTGATTTATTGTAAATTCGTGTATTCAATGTAGATATTTTTATAATACTATATTATAAATAGTATTTCTAAGAATATTTTTTACAGTACTTTTACGCGTAGTGTTCTCTTTATTAAAACTTTCTAAATCAATAATATAAACGTTATAGGTGTATAAATATAGTATTTATATAAATTATTGATACACAAGTTTATTAAAAGTGTAAATATTGTAATAAGTACAATATTTATACAATTTAAAATTGGACTAAAATGTATAATTTAGACATATTTCAAGAACTCTTTATCATCTGCAGGAAATTGATGGAATAGATTTTAAAAAAAATTCAAAACATATTCAACCTACATAAATATAATTATAAGTTTAGCAGTATAAGTCTATACAACACGTAGGAGGTTCCAACCGTTTAAAATCATCAGATTTCTACTTTTATACAAGGTGAACGATTATCGTTACAGCTGAACATTATAGTTCCCACCCATCATTGAAATCAATTACATTTAAAGAGAATTCAACTATACTTTAACTGTCAATATTTGATGTATACTATTAGTTATGATTAGTTATCTTTCGGTAATAATATTTCCAATTCAATTTTTATAATATTTGCTCAAGTATAATTTGATTTAGTTATTTTCTTACATACTTAAGTATTTTATAAAATGTTGTTAACAACCACTCGTAATTTCCTTACTAATTTAGTGGAAATCATTTGATTTATAAAACAAGTTTAAATAATACATTTAAATAAAACGTTGGAAATGTAGTAAATATTTGAGATGTGATTGGCGATGTGTATGAATGCATAATGCATTTATCGTACTCGTGTTTAGGATACTAAAATATATAATTTAGTTACGCGATTGTAAAAAATGCTGACTGACAGTTTTATGGACAAGTATAAATCACAAAAACAAAGAGTCTACATATTATAGAATATGGCCAATTATATTTCACCAATCGGAAAGAATTCTATATCTTGATGTGATTTATTAATAAACCTGTGCATTTTGGTTAAATATTTACGATGGAAATATGAGTGATAATTTTCCCAATACGTATTATGTAATCGACTGGCACCGAATTGGTTCCCGATTTCCAAACCCACATGCCGAATTGATTCCCGTCTGAAAAAGATATTTTATTAGGTATAGCCGAATTGGTTCCCGTTTAATTATGCACATTTTTCTTCTCAATTTTACTGGCTTAGGACTGTCAACTTTAAAGTAGGCTTGGTTAAAAATGTACGCTAATGTGTGTTAAAAAAAATGATAAAATATCTACAATTTTAAATCGTTGATTTGGAAGTCAACTCGTCATCACTTTAAATACAAATAATAAATTATAATAAATACAATTTAAAACAATTTATTTGTAAATTTAAAGCTAACTTTCTTTATATATTCAATTCTTGTAATCTTCTCATTAATGTAGTCAGTCATACAATTTTCCAAATCCAATAATCTATAGTTTATTATATTTCTATACTTTGTCTTATCGATATATGATAATATATATTTAAAGCTTTTAAAATGTTGTTTTATCTCTCTATGCACTGACCCGCTGGATTTTAATTTTTAATATTGTAAGTAAATTGTATTAAAAATTAAAATTGTCACTATTTCACCTGTACACAAACGGAAACTAATTCGGTTACTCCCATGTAATCATATTAAGTGTACTTAATGCTGGTATAGTGGTATCTGTGAGGCTGTATGTGTATGTGTTTATACATAAACTATAGTTATGCAAGTAGTATTATCTATAATTCAAATACCTGGAAATCATTTAATTGTAATTTGCAGTACCTTACATTTTTTTATTTTGCTCTTGGCGTTTACACCTTACAATACAATACGACACATAGTTAATATTATTATGTGGTATAATTTACATGATATAAATTATATAATTGAGTGTTTTAATTTTGTAAAATATACCTCATCGAAATATTCCAATAGTCTTGGTAATTGACGTAGGCGTTGTATATATATTATAGGTTTACGAAACTATTATTTTTGACATATTCAGTGTATAGGCGTTGTAATAAGGTCATTATTTAGATTATTTAAGTAGAATATTATTGTAGGATGGGTAATATAATGTTATGCGATCTACCAAATAAGTATATCAATGATTTGCATTTTTAAATATATTTTTATATCTATAAAAAAAAAAAAAAATAAACTCAAACTTTGTACTGTTGTAACATCTATATTATACTAATTAATTTAAGTATATATTTATTTTAATTGAAATCACAGATATTATACATAACTATGATTATATTTACCTAATAATAATGAAAAATCAGTGAATATATTATAGTTGAAACTGTTCAGATTTTTCAATCTTTACGTTAAAAGTGAAATTCCTATGTGGAAGATTGTAATCGACATTCTTAAAACAAGTTTTTGGTTAATAAAATAACAAAACATACTGTATGATGTATACATTTCAAGGAAATATCGCTATTCAAGTGATCACATTAATATATAATTTCATGAAATTCGTGGTAATTGTTGTAGAACATTTGTAATATACTAATCATTACCATATATATATAATATATCGTGTTTAATATATATATTGTTTTGATGTTTGGAAAGAAACGGCGAATATTATTCAATTTTGCTAATGGCGTGTGCGGGTGATTTATACGTACGCACCTAAATTTATTTAAGCTTTTATTATAACTATCTCGTGGAATGTCCTGGTATGATAAGTTTTGCGCACCAGAGTTTCAGACGTTTAAACATGTATATATAAATATATATGTATGTGTGTGTGTGTGAATAGCTTATGCATTGTATATGTATCTGTTTACGGTTTGAAGAAAACCATTAAAAAAAGTTTAATCGGTATAGCGTGCGTCGATGCATTAACGCGCGGGAGGCCATGGTCAGACTCGTGAAACACGAACAGTGAACGATGGTCGTACACATGTACGCGTATAAAATAATATACATCATGATGAACGCGAAAGATTGAACAAAATTCAAATCGAGTGGATAAAAAAAAAAAAAAAATCACAGCAGACATCAACTGCGCGATGTTACCGGGTTGGACGAACAGATTCCGATATGATATACGGTCGGGTCTGGTGGTCGAAAACGTAGAGAGAAAAACGTGATAGTTTTTGTGTTCAAAAACAAACCGTAAATAGTAATGTCAATTTCCACTCGAGTGTTAGTCGAGAGTGTCGTCTCAGACGTCATCGTTTACTGCGGGGGAGCGCGTATACGTCGATGAGGCCAACTGCAGTCGCCTGAGACGTAATTTTTTTGTTTACCGCGTAAATTATAACACGCGCCGAGTGCACGTAAACACACGAGCGCCCAAGGTTTTTAGACACCCGGTGCGCTCGATTTAAACGCCCGTGTTTACACAACCAACTATGTAAATACGAACCGTCCCATACACGCACATACGTATATATATATAAATATATATATAGCGCATAGGGATCGAATGGCGTCTACCTGTGGTCGTCGCGGCCTAGGAGACACGCGCAGCGAGAGCGTTTCAAAGGATTTTCGTCTACACAACGTATTATTTTACAATAACAGTAACGATGACGGGGCGGTGCTCCTCGTACGTTGCGATACAAACCATACGTGTACACGTATGCGACATACTTGTATGTACAAATACGTGTATATATGTATATGTAATACTGTAATTGGAAAAGGAAAATAATAATAACAATAAAATACGTTTAATATGGGAAGGCGCAAAAATAAAAACAGGTGCGGGTAGTGTTTCGACGGCGATGGCGGAGCCCGACGGACAAGGTCAACCCGCCGCCGCCGCCGCCGCGGTCGAGCGAAAAAGAACGGGCGCAACGCGTTCTCAAGGTCGAAGTCGTGCGAGCGGCGACCGTGTGCGTATGCGTGTGGTGCGACTGTACTACAGTTCGCGACGGTGGCGGTGACACTCCCCCGGCGGGACAGGCCCGTTCCGCGAACCATAGTGGTACAGTGCGTATACACACGTTGCGCGCGCGAGACAACCGTTTTCGGCCTTACGTCATTGCCGCCGCATATGCTCGGCCGTTCTTCTCCTTATTTGGTAGCGGTCACACGTAGGTATACGCGCACACGTACGAAGTATAGGAACAACGACGACGTACATATCATTATTATTATCATTATCATGATTTATCATCTACGTACGCGAAACGATTATCACCATCGTATACACAATGTTGTATTCTGTGATATTATACGTAATACTATTATGCGCCGCGTCCTTTCCGCGGAAAATACCACTGCACTTAGAACACTGCGCATTAGCGTCTACACAAGGATACACTTTAGGTTAAAAAGATAACGATTAGAGCAAAACAAGCGCCTGCACCCCCCCCCCTCTTAGTTATATTTAACACGCTTGTTTAATACCCCAGTAATCTACCCGAAGTAGATATACGGTGATAAATGGACACTCCTAAGAAAAATCCTAAATACACCCCAGTGTTTTACTGCAGTTGTCATGCGCGGTGTTATATTATTATAACAGTTATTCCAGACAATTAATTATCGTTACTTGGACGCCAATCCTACAAAATGATCATAATAATACTGCAGCTTGTGCGAAATTCCGGAACCGTCCGGTATTGTTAATGTCATCACACCGCAGCTGTAATATTATTATTAAAACACGAGGTGACTTCTGACAACTTTTCGTCTGTACGACGGTCGTAGTCTTTGGTGGTCTTTTCGTTATCGTACATCTGCAGGATTTTCGTTTAGTCATTGTTCGTCGTCGCTGTATAACGAAAGATTTCCTTTTGTCCGCAAGACTAGAAGAAATTTGTTTAATTGGCTGGCGGAATTTTATAAAACATCATCTCGTCAATGCCATGGTCATCATTATATTTGGGTATATTATACACTGATTTGTTGGTACAACAACTTCATCGTTGATATTTTTACTCGACGTATAGTAGAACCTACACAATAAAATATGTGTACATAATAATAATAATAATAATATGACGTACATTAGCTGAAAAACAATTTGCCAAGTCATTTTTAAACAATAGCTATTTACATAAATTAGATAACTATAATACATAATATATACACATTTCTCTTGGAGTTTTTTTTTTTTTTTTTTTAATCGTTCATTAAATAATATGTTCCATGCCCCTGAAAACACACCCTTGGAAAACAAATCTCCTACTCGTTCCAAGCATATACACATATTGTTCCCAATGAATATGAAATCAAAACAAAAAGAAAGAGAAATAGTAAAGCATCAAAACTGTTGCAGTAGACTACAAATACAAAGCATTATTATCATTGGATTATTTCCAAAATATTACTTTTGAAGGATATACGAATATTGCAAACCCACAACACCATAAATGTAGCGAAGGTATCTGCGTGTGTTTTTCACATTTTTTTAATCATATTAGGCAAAAAGGTCAAACGTTTTAGAATGATATATACATCAATGACAATAGTTATGAGTAATTCTCTAGTAATAGTAAAATATTAATGTATTGTACATATTACATTTGTAGGTATGTAGTCGAATCAACAATATTAAATTTTTAATACTAAAAAAATACTATTTACTGTTCAGTGGAGTAGCCAGAAAAATATTTTTAGGAGGGAGGGTTTGCATTTTCAATTCTCTCCTATATAAGCACCAACTATTTAATTTTAATAAGTTGATTAAACATAAATTATAAAATATGTTATTATTTAGTTTATTACAACTGTGAAAATTGTTTAATGATGACTTAATATAATATTATACTTATGTCTTAAATTTATTTTATATTTTACAAAATAAATTAAATAAATTAAACATTTAGGGAGGTTATAACCCATTAACCCCCCCTCCTAGGCATGGTCACTAATAAAGTGGAATTATACATGATGAAACATATTTAATAGCGTTTTAAATATTAAACAAACTATTTGCCTATTTTGTAATGGTTATGTAACATATATGTCATAACTTTAATATACAAATAATAATGTATTATTTTCATTTTTATTAAAACATATAAAGAAAATTAAAACCATTATAAAAAGTACAAAATACAGTTTAATATCAGTATTAAATTATACATTTTTAGTAGATAAACAATGTTTCAATAAAATAGTTACCTCCATTTGTGAGAATAATTTACAGAACAGTTTACTCTGACATTGATGTGATAGTGAGTTCAGTCTATTTCTTTATTTATCGTATATTACAAAATAATAAAATTGGCTCGAGGCCAGATCTTCATTAATTTTCAATCTTCTTATTTACTACAACAAAAAAAAAAAAAAAAAATAGAAATACAAGTGTTGTATATAAAAAATAAACAAATTGAAAATTTTTAAATTTGACAAATATATTACAGTATTTTTTATTATACAATTAAAAACAAGTAACGAAAACTAATTTATACTTCAATTTATTCTCGCTGAGGTACTATTATACGATTGCAGAAATGAAAAAAAAATTATCAAGATCATACCTACTGTTTTAGTCAATGTTTAACACCACCTTGTTAAAATTATTTGATTAAATAATTAATAATCATTTTAATCATCATACAACATCAATTTTAATTAAAATGTTATATGATCGTTATAATATTTTATAAAGTATTGTATATACGAGTTACTCATTAGTAATAGTTTTCAATACGTTATTCAATTAGTTAATGATAATTATAAAACTTATCGTGATTAGTAATTACATTTCCAAACTATTTTTTCTTATTTTAATTATTGAATACATTTGTATATTGAATATATTTGGTAAATATTTTTTCATATTTTAATATAAAGTATTAGTAACTAATATTACCAACTTTATTACAAGTTTATCAACTTGGTAAAATAATATTTAATGATCAACGATGTTTTCTGCTTAACTAATCTTGTTGAACTAACAGAAGCTAAACAATATACATTAAGTTTATGTTTAGTAGGTATATATAATTATGTACTACGTATAATTTTTGTTGAAAATACTTATTGTAAACATTCTCACGTTCAACAATCGTTGTATTTTATCATACGTGCATACATGGATTTTCAATTACAGTAGTGTTTGTATTGTTTCAGGACCTAGAACAATGTATAACAGACAAAATCAAAATCAAGGCGAAGCAAGACTCGGTAAGAACCAAGAATTCGATTAGTCACGTTTTTATATTTTTATCTCTATGCACAATATTATAGTTAGTCATCTATGGAATAATTTCATAAAAATATATTATGTATGGTTTAAATGTAGGTACAAGTTGTACATTAATTATCAACAGGTGTACGATATATTTAGCGAACCCAGTCTTAGAAAAATGATTGATATTTGGAAGTATTATAAATGTACATAATTCGGGATATTTTTAATGAACGACATTTTGATAGTAGAACAAATTTTTGGTCTCGTAAAAAACTTTAGAGTGTTATAAATAAAGGAAATTTCTGGGTCTTATAGCATACTAGGTGTAGGTATAATATATAAAAATAAATAAAAAATAAATCGTGTTTCATTTCCAACTGCTATTTTTATAACGTTACAATTTGTATGAACGTTGACACATTTCGGCTGTCTGGACCGTAGCAAATACTATTAAAATAGAAACCTGAACTAACATTTACATAAGGACATTTCACCTTCATAATTGTTATTATTTTTTTTCAAAACAGCCAACTATAAAAACAAAATTGTATAAGTATAAGTAACTAGGTACATAATGGTCAATGAATATGGTACATATTTTATAAATCATGTACTCAGTGCGGGTAAATTGTTTCAATAATTAATGAGGAGACCATTTGACTTGTTATAATTTTATTTTCCGTGAACATATATTTTACGTTCTAGTAAATCCACTATTTAATATGTAACCCCTCTGGATATTCCATACGAAAAAGTAATTATCATGTATAGTTTATATATCTTGATCGTTACTTTTCCAGGGGCTTCGTTATTTACAAGTTTTTAGCCTCTGTTAAGTTAAATAAAATCAACCTATTAAAATATTGTCTATGGTTTAATCGATTCTGTTGTAACTTGTTACCCTGATAAATCTCTTGTATGTAAATGTAAGCCCACATGTGTTGATTACAAAATGTTCCATAAACAACACCTTGACTCTGTTGTAGTATTTAATTGGTATTGCGACTACGTTACAACATATAATTAGTTCAAATTTTAACATTTACTATTTAGAACTACTACTAGACGACTTGCAATCTACTCTTCCACGTAAAAATCATGGACTCAATAACACGTCATCCACTGGATACAGGGAAGTAACAAAAAGTACATCAAGGACGATTGGCAACGGCCAGACCGAGACCAACAAGGAATATGAAATCCAATACCTCAATCCCGCCAACAAATCCGCTGTGCTCACTGAACGTTTACCTGATCTTCAATCGGTTGATTTGTTGGTTCGTAAACAATAAACACAGTATTAATTACGTTATGTAATAATGATTTTGGTGTCGATTATAATTTATTATTCGATTTCAGCGACAAACTAACGGTGGAAAAAATGCAGGTTATGAAACAGTTTCATCATACCAGTATAAAAAATCGACAGAAAGTATGTAGTATATTTACAGTTATCAGTCCATTCAAATAAATAGATAAAATTTGTTACACATTATTATGTTTTAGATAAAAGTACAGTGCCCAGGCATGAAACAAACAGCGTTAACATGAGACAAAGTATTTCTGAGCTTGATTCGTTATTAGACGACTTGAATCATGCTCAAAGAGTTGGGTTTTCAAACTCGGGAGTAAGTAGACATGAAATAACAACTACTGAGTCAAACATGTAAGTTCATATTTTTACTTTTTACTCAATGGTTAATGAACTACAAATGCTCAATGTTCAAATTTAACTTACTTATGGTCCTACGGTATCATTAACAGTGAACCATTAAGAAGCAGTACACCGTATAAACAATATAGTAAATATGAAGATCATAAGTACGGAAGTCTTAACAGGACCAAAGTACCAGGAACAAATGAAGTAATTTCCACCTATGAATCTTCGATAATAAATGGAGAACCTTCAGGTTAGTAACGTATATTTTGTTTTTAAAATCGTACTATATACTAGCTTATGAAAGTATTTTTTGATAACAGATTTAGTCGATGCGCCACGTAGCTATACTAAACTACTTCAAAACCAAGCACCAGGAACTTATCAGACTTCTGTATACTCTAAAGAGACTACGAAAAAAATAATACCGGGTACCACAACTTATTCGACTTATCAAAAATTCGGTTCGCCCACAACGGATCCGGGTCAATCTAAGGTATACAATTATTCAGAAGAGTATCGTACTGAAAACAAGAATCGTTCGCTAAGAGATTTGCCACCGTCTCCTCGTTCACATAGATCATCGTCACCGCGTTCCCCATCACCACATCGTTCACCATCACCTGTATCTTTCGCTCAACCACCAGAACCTAGAAACTATTCGAGCAGTCAGTCTTATACGAACAGGACCGTATCACCACAGCCAGTACAGAAATTCAGTCCGTCCGATCCAAGCAGAATTAAGTGAGTATTATATTATTTAGTAAATTTTAGTACGCATATAACATATAATTTTGAGGGATTGTAACGAGTGTGTATGTCGCAGCGAAGAGGTGACCTGGGTCGCACATGCCACGCCCCCTGTAACCCGTCGTTTCCCTGTGAGGTTAGTAAGTGTTTTGGAGGTTAATATATTGTGATCGTACGTGAGGTTCATGATTGTGTTCAGGGAATGTAACGTGAACACATTATTGTAAATAAAACGTACTAATCATGTATCTGTGGGTTTTTATAGTGTGGACAATACATTTGCTACACCGCCCGGCCAGACAGTCTACTCATACAAATATTTGAGTGAGACCAGAGAAAACACAAAGTATGGACAGCCAAATGGGTACACAAAACCCACATACCAGGATCAATTACCTCTACGGCAATCACCATTCCCTAGAGATGAGGCAGACACTCCAGGACTTCAAAATCCACCAAAACGGTTGGACGACTTAATGGCGTCATTTGGTGATAGAACGGATTACACAACCTATCATAATAATAGAGAATATCATTCAAACGTGAACAACTATCAATCCAAAACTAATGAACACGAAAACAACAAGGCTGTCGCCGAGTACACGATTCCTATTAAAAAGCCATACTCCGAAACTCAGACTCCTGAACATAAAACTCCAGAAAAATTGACGGAAGTCAAAGAAGCTGAAGTGACTCAGTCCATTGCTGGGCCAGCAGTTTTCTATCCACCGGGTTCGACAACGTTTGTGAAAAAGGAAGAAGTAATGCAACAGGTATAATTATTTGTATAATGTATTACTGAATTTATCAATCATTTTCAATCGTTAAATGTGTATTTCCCATTCTACAGCAAGGTCAATCAGGCCAGGGCCAAATGAAGGCTAAAGCCAAAGGAATGTACAAGTATAAAAGCAAGAGCAAATCAAAGGAAAAATCAAGTTCTGGAGCGACAATGGTACCAGTATGTTTACCGATGTGCTGTGCCATGCCATGTGTTATCATGTAACACGCGTAACCTAAGACATTATGATTAAGTAACTTGACTAATTTAATTATATCTACTTGACACAAATAATAAAATAAATTAAAAACCTTATGGTGCCTTACCAACGTTTTCTCTAAAAGTATAATTATTTTAAATTTAAACACATGTTATGTTATTTATTGAATATTTTGGTTAAATAATATTAACATTTTAAATTTTAAGGGAAATATGATAAATGCGACATACATTACAATTATTAATAGTATATGTTACACAAGTTTACATAAACTTGTAATTCTATTTTTAATAGCATGTTGATATTATCTTGTTAAAATGAACCTTATGTCGAATGTATGTCAACATATTATTTATTAATTAATAATGATAAATACCAATATTTACATTATAAACTACACATATATACCACTAACCTTGCTGTAAGCTTAATTTATTTTTATTCGATTATTATTAATTTTTTCCAACTTACAGACAACTCAGATGAATGTAGACATGATGATATCTATTAATTAAACACAGTTTAAATGGTCACATTTTTAATTGGTTAATATTAATAATAAAAATAACAAATTTACATTTTATGAGAAAAAATTATACATAATTTTACATTTTATTAATTGTTGAAATTAATTATTAAATATGTTTAAAATATAAATTATTTCTGAACAAATGTAAATGAGTGTTAAGACCATGTATTGTAGGTTGTATGTCTAACATGTTTTCGTGAAATATTTATAAAACAGATACCAACCGCTGTTAGCCAACGCATCAGTATTCAATATGCCACGAAGTACGTTTATACGGTTATATTACCTCGGAATTTTATTGAAATTGTATTTATCTAATTAAGTGACTTAAAAATAAAACATATACATAATAGTGAATAGTAATTATACTATTTGTATTTTTCTGACGTTAAATGAAAAATATTTACTTTTGTATAATATATATATATATATATTATATATAAGCGTATAAAATATAATTTTAACGACTATCGAAATTCGTTTAAATTTTATTTTAACAAATGTTTCAGTTGTTTGGCGCGCATAATTTGTACCTAAATATTAATTTATACCTACTGTTGTCGAATTTGTTAAAACTATTGATGTTGAATAATTGTTATATAATTATTAATATACTACATAATAATACGAGTTAAAATTATTTTATTCATTTATTTTTATTCCCGAAAACCTGATGAACCACATTTTGTATTATACTATACTTGTTGCATATCGCAGGTCTTAAATATTTTATTTAATTTTCCAAAGTTATCGGCTATCGTTATTATCAACAATTAAATTGTATTCTTCAGAGTATAATAGATATACGTTTTCTCTTTGCTGTACTGCTTGGTAACATTTAAATATTACATTTAAAACACCGACATAGGTATAGACATTGGTCACACGAGCGTGGGAAAAAAGAACTACGTTTCTGAATATCCCCGTTATTGAATAATTTAAACTTAAATATCGCTGGTCACACTCGTAACGTCATGTCAGTTAGGTAATTTTGTTCGACGACGAATACGTTCCACACATGTTAGGATGTTCGTCATTCGATTTCCCTAACACCCGTGTGACCCCAATTTAAGGTTTACGAGCACAGAATAGATTAAATTTGCGATAAAAACCAATTCTACACAATAACTGTTGGTGTTTTTTCATAGTTGCGTTCAATGTCGTATAAATTATCATTATCATAAATTCTTATTCTCCGTATAAAATATGCAAACATATTTCAGACGGCGCTATGTATAGGCAATCGAGAGACAATTATTCAAAACGTGCAATATTGTTTCCTATCGTTAGCAATCATGGTCAATTTTTTACAATCGTTAATTTTTATTTTACAACACTTGATAGAATACGTGATAGTTCAGCTATCAATTTTTAAATTTATCTATAGATATTTTTGTTAATAATAAATTAATAATCCGTATAGTTGTTACACAATTGAGCATTGAGGCTTCAACAGCAAATACTATTAGCTATTAGATGTTACATATTTGATGTGTTAGGTGTTAGATTTAAAATTACAATATTACATATGAAATATTATACAGGTGAAGTTAGATGTAAATTAAGATTTACTATTATAATATTTGTGATACTTAATAATGTGACTATTTTCATAGTTTGTTTTTCGCTAAGTACTTTTACTATGTTGGATAGCGTATTCAGGTCGGTGCGTATTGAGGTAAATTGTGTACACTCCTCCACTATGTGTTCGACAGTTAATGATAAGTGGTATGTGTTGCATATTGGTTTGAGGATTTTTTCTAATTAAGTATGAGTGTTTGAGAAAAAAGTGTTCATTCTAATCTTCTACAAATTTAAAATAATATAAAATAGTATAGTTTCGGGTTTATCCGAAAACATTTTTATGCAATATCATATAACATACATTATATAATATATATATAAATATGAATTTTTTAAATTTTAAACAGAAAACTTATCACGACCCAATCTTAAAGCTTATGCGACCCAAAATTGGGTCACGACTCACCAATTGAAGATCACTGCTCTAATTAATTTATGTTTATAAAAATGTACTAGGGCCAATCCTTTGCCTTTTTCCGACAAAAGTATTATTATATCCATATTAAAAAAATAGAAAGCACACTGGTGATTGAGTACTACATAAACTGAATTATTTCTTTAATAATTTTAGAATCGTAACTATCGTAATTATTTTATATTTTCACCCAATGCTAAATATCTAAAATGACAGTATACTACGGACAAAATTAATATGTATTAAATTAAATTAATCGGTAACGTTGCCGATAAAGCTAGGTTTGGCTCTCAGCTTACCACTAGTTTAAGTTTATTAATAAGTATCTTAATAATTGGTGTAATGATACGTGAAGAATATAAGTTATAACATTTCGGAAATGTGAAGGTGGCAATATTGCATAAAATATTAAATTATGTTGCTGAAAAAGTATATGCTCAATCGTTCTTCACCGATCCGCATAACTATGGAACTGATTATTAGTTAATAATTATACATAGATTATTATATACACTTTATTTTAACGTTTTTTTTTCTTATGATGAACAATGGAAGATGTTACTGAATCGTTTAAACATGCATACTATAAATAAGCCTTTAAATAACACAAACGAGCACATTATATTATTATTAAATGCGTGTATTTATCTACAGTGCCTACTGAAGGGATGTGTGAATGGTACAAACGCATTGAATCTCATTAGAAAATAATTTTGTAATTAAAAAATATACAAAATTAATAACAAAAACAGATGAAGGAAATATCAAATCAAATTCATTGGAGCATTTATATTTTGTTCGGTGTTCTATTTATCGCGCTATGATATGTATTTATATAAACAATCTTACTGATTGCATAAGAAGTATGGAAGAAAGTATTCCCGAGGTTAAAATATATATATTATGATTTTTGTTTTTAAAAATTTGACCGGAAACAGTTAACAATATGATCGTTAATTCTCACTATGGGTCACTTCTACCTTCCGCGGGTGGGTTGATTTAAGGCGTGTCACACCAACTCGCAGTGTCAGGTGGAAGTTGGAGCCCACGCGTGACTAGGCATCCGGTAGTCTTCTATCATCTTGGGCGTTAGGTAGTCTAAGGAGGTTGAACTGCTTTAGAGACGGGCAAGCGACTGACGTCCAATATTCTATAGGTAGGATTTAGCGATAATACATTTTAATTTTTAGCGGATGCGTGTCTTGCGACGGATCATATTAAAATAATTATTTTGTTTTAAAATATATCACGAAGTTGCAATTACGTTACGGTCAAGAACAAGATAATGCATGAATTATACATAATTAAATAGACCATTAATGGATAAAAACGAGTGAACTAGAATTTAAAAATTGTATAATCCATATAAAAGTAATATTAATCTATTACCTATATTTATTACATTATAAAATTAGGGGTATCGTTTTTTGTACATGAATATTAATATACCTGTTCACGCAGGGCTGGCTCAAGCAAAAATAGTGCAATGGGCAAAATTAAATTTTGTCGCCTTTAAAAAAAATTAAGTTCTTATTTTAACTTAGCCTCTTCTCCTATTTTGTGTCACATATCTACATAAAATTTTATTTTATTTTTTATTTTATGTATAACATTATGTGTAAAAAAACTTAAAAATGATTATTAAGCAAAACCCATCACTATCAGGACTATCAAAAATCGCGGAAGTGATTGTGTGGTTATTAATATTATTGAAATAATTGAAAACGCCCAACGTAGGCCGTGCCTAATATTAAGCAGGATACCAAAAAGTTTTTTGTTAATGTTATTATTATAACGTTAAACTATTCAAAAAACGATTGAAATCCATAACAGATAAGATATCGGCAAACGTTAAACGATGAAACCGGATAACAGATAACATATCGGTAAACGATAAACGATTGAAAACGGATAACGAATCAGAAACGAAAAACATTTAAAATTAATATCGAATAACGTAACAGAAATCAATTAACGATTGAAACTTAAATGAAATTGTCATGGAAAAATATTTCTATGAGTAAAATAGATTTGGAACGTAGTTATTTTTGTATAATTGACTTAAATTACTAGGTAATCTAAATAAAATAAATGTAAAAGGATATTTAAAACCACAACAAATTTATCAACTAATAAAACATAAATAAGCATTACCAATTACAATTTATAAATATGCTTTCTGAAATTACGTTCAATATTGTCGGCGGGGAACCCGTATAACCTACCTCATTAAAAATATTTTCAGTAATAATGTCTCCCCTACTAAAGTGCCGCTCTGAGCAGGTGCCTAGCTCACCTATACCTTGAGGCGGCCCTGTGTTCACGTGAATGAAACAAAATAAATCACGTATTATTAATACACATGAATTAACAAATACATTATGACTTGAACACGTATCTGAATCATATGCACGTAAACACGTGAATTAGTGTATTCACGTATATTACTATTTATTATAATTTCTTATATTATTATTTATTAATACATTATTTATTATTACATTATCAATACGTTTAAATTTGTTTCGTGTAGTGCTATATGTACCAATTAACATTAAATTATTAACGCCATAGGTATATAAAACATTGGTTATTATTATTATTTACTAAGTGTACTTAAACAGTTATAATTATTATTATTAGTGTTATTGATTATTAGACTATTTTAACCTATATCCATGTGTAAGTTTTGTATGACCAATTATGGGTTAATCTATGTGTTAGTTGTAGTATTATTATTATTATTTTAAACTAAGGAGAAGTACCAGACTTTAATGGAATTTAAAGTTAATTTAATAAATAATGATTATCATGGATTAATTTTTTTCTGTTTGGTTTATTACACATAAATTCAATTTATTCACATTTTTTTTTTTATTACATAATTTTTTCTGAAGTCAGGATTTTTTTTTTTTTTTTTGTTAAATTATTATTTTATATTTCATTTGCTTTTTCTTTTTCAAAAAAAAAAAAAAACAAATTATTATAATGCATTTTTATATTGCGAACCAGTGGCGGATCTACGGGGGTAGATATGGGGGATAGATCCTCCCCCCTCGTGGGCCGAGAGTTAAAAAAATTTTTTTTGCAACCAATTAAATTTTTGCATGCACAATTTAAATAAAAACTATTTTTTTATTATTCCGTTTTCATTATTTCGTAACCAAGAAGGATACACTAGTATACATTAGTATCTAACTTCATATCAGATTACGAATATATACCTCGTACTTATATCATGACCCAGGATACAGCCATAGAGTAATGGTACAATCATCAAGTAAAATTAAATTTTATTTTGTAAATTTAATAGAATAAAGCTTATATACCTATGCATATTATGCACGAAAATATTTTATATCCCTACCCATGATAAAATCCTAGATTCGCCACTGTTGCGAACGATTCACTCGACTATTGATATAAGTAAACCAATTGAATAATATATTTGAGTGCATGACATAGCAGGTAGTCGGTGACTCAAGAAATTCACAGTTTACGTGATAATATAAATTCACAGATTCACGTGATTATACAAATTCACTGATTCACGTGAATAAAATTATAAATACAAGTGTAAAATTAAACAACAGGTCACATAAAATTAAATTTTAATTTTACGCGAACAAGTGAAATGAGTTCTATTTAATAAATGCATTTGGTTTGGATTATTATAAATACTAAAAGGATTTTAACAATAATTTTTAAAAAACTGTTTATCAAAATCGAGGGTCAACCACCAAAATATTTTCACCATTTGATAATTTATACACACAATACCTACTGTATTACTTTTTTAAAATAACATATGATCTTTTTAATTTATTATTTTTAATTATGCTTGGAATACATAGATTTTATATTTTGAAAATATTAAGATTTATAACAAACGTTTATTATTAAAAATTGTTTATAATTTTTATGATTATACAAAATGTAACTTGAAAAGAAAGTTATGAAAAGAGGATAATTTATAAATCCACTTATATAAAAGGTAGCTCTTTTAAAACAAAAACAATTGACTGGGTCCAATAAAACTTAGCATTAGTATTGTCTACCTATATTTTTTGATTTTATTTATTATGTCTTTTTTTATATTTTAATAATATGTTAATTTTAATATTATATTATTTTATATTTCATTACACAGCTACAGATATCATACAAACTAGGTAAAACTAATAAAAATACTTCAGACTTGAAATAAATACTAATTATATTTCAATGAAATTATTTGGATATTGGTAATAGATCCAAATAATTAGAGTTCATCATATCTTGTCGTAATTTACGTAAATCAATTAAAAGTGTTTTTAATTTTTCTTCATCTTGTTTTTGTTCCACTAAATTGTTCGATAAAATATTTTTTATACTAAAATCAATATAAAATTAAATTATAATACAATTACTTATTTTTAAAATACAAATTTTTTTTTATTTTCAAATTATAAAATATAATCACTCACTTTTGTTTATTATTTACTAAATGTTCATTGGTTTTTATGTCATGAAGTTTTGTGTACATTTGATTGATTTTTCTAACCGATGCAATCCATCGTTCTTTGAAAAGCATACAAGACTTATTAGCTTCTTCATATTTATTCTCTAAATTTGACTAGACATGAAATTTTTATATTATTACTAATACACAAAAAAAAAAAAAAAATCTGAAATACATTTTAATTACGTACAATAGTTTTTTCTAAATGTTTTACTCGTAAATCACAAGTTAAATTAATATATTCTTTTAGCTGTTCATTTTCATTTCTTAATAAAATATTAGTTTTTTCTAGATCATGCAATCTAGTTTCCAATTGAGTATTTTTATCACTGAGTTCATTAATAATTTGTGCATTCGAAGACTGACATTTTTGCACTAAACTAATATATTTATTATCCATACTCTCTCTATGATTAGAAAACTAAAAAATATCAATAAATATTATTTTAACGGACAAAAAATTGTTAAAAACACAGAACTGAATGACGTACTTCAAGTTCTTTAGCTGTAACAATTGCGTCTTTTTCTACAACCATATCAGCTAATACATCTACGTTTTCAGTTAATGCTTTACATGTTGATACCGCTTGAGTAAGTTCTTCTTCAATATGTTTTCTTTCTTCTAACCATTTATTATTAAATTGTTTAAAAAGTTCTTCTTCTTTAATTTTCAACTATATAATAGAATAAAAAAATATTATAACTCAATTATAAATAATAATAAAATATACAATAATATAACATTTTCATTAAATAAAATCATTTGTTCCTTTTTCCAATGTTCTAATTCTTCATTTCTTTTTTTTTTTAACTTTTCTTGCATGTCAAAATTGAATACATTTCTGAAATAATTTTTTTTTCTTTTTTAATATAATTACATTTAATAGATTAATTAAATTAAGTTTATTATTTAATAATATATAGATTCAAATTAAGTTTTAAATTTAATAGGATACAATACACTGAATGTTCATTTGTCAGGGTGAATATATCATATTATCATATTATATACATTATCCAAGAAGTCATTAATTATAAATTAATACATAATGTGCTGTATTAAATAGAACTTGAAGTTAAAAGCAAATATTTATTTACATAGCAGATTCTAACTTTAATATTGGATATAATTGAATGAATATTAAAACATATCTCAATTTATTTCTAACTTACGGTGGTTCATTTTTTTCTCGAAAATTTTCTATTAGTTCTGATGTACTAATATCAGAATTTTTTATATCAATTTCAATGTTTTCTGATTTATTAACATCATCATTTTGTAAATTGATTTCAATATTTTCTTTAATAAACTTATTTTTTTCATCTATAAAGAAATAAATATACAATATGAAATATACTTATGTACCTAATTTATAAGAACATTGTACAATAGAATCTGTAATAAAATTTAAGTTAAGCAAACATACAATGATAATAGTTATGTTATACCTACCTTTTTTTTGGATAATTATTATAATCATTTATACAATTATTTTCTGTTATTTTCAAGTTTTGATTGTTTTTAGACAAAGCTTCAACATCTTTAACATTGAAATCTTCAATATACAAAGACATTTTAAGATTATAACTACAATTTTTTGATCCCAATAATTTATAAGATTTTACTTCTATCTACAATTATAATTAAATTATTAATATTGTATTTATTAAAAAATAAGTTACCAGATAATGTAAAAAATAAAACCAATATAACTTACACGATCATTTGATGTTGGATTCATAGTTTGTGCTTCTTTCACTTTTAACATAAGATAACCAAGTCTTATATTTGCATTAAATTTATTATTAGGTATATTATAGCAATCTATTCTTATTGATGCATTGGACATTTTTAATCTTATATAAAACAAAAATTAACTTTAAAATACAGAAAAATAATTGGTTTCTTGAAAAAAATAAATATTATTCTTACTCTTTTAGAGTAGTATTATCCATACTCCATACAATTTCAGAGGCAAATTTTAACACATTGTTATTACCAGGAATTATCTTAGTTTCTAATCTTTTGTTCATTAATGTTCCATGTACCACAATAGATCCTTTGATCAAAGCAAATCCATAGCCTAATAAATAACAATACACAAGTAAAATAAATTATTACTATTGTAATTATTTTTTATCATTTAATTTTCTTCCATTTAAACCTTATTTATATGTTTAAACAGTACAGTAAAAAAGAATGGCTAAGAAGTAAAGTATTTAACATTACAAGGTGTTTTATAGAGTTAGTTCCAAATAAAAAATTTTGTTTTGATCATTATTTTTGAATTTGTTGTTAAACTTAAACAGAAGATAAAAATTTTGTTATTTGAAAATGAAAAACAATAAATAATTTGATTTTTTCTAAAAACATATTTGCTTAAATTATAATTTTATACTGAGTAATAATCATTAAAAATTGAACATTCAAGTTTTAAACAAATGTATGTATATTATATTTTAGGGTACAATAAATCATTTTATTTCAAATAGGAATTGTATGGTGTTTCTATAGCAACAAAGTAAAACAATTAATAAACCTATTTAAATATATTTTATGTAATATTAAGTAACAAAAAAATATAAACAAATATTTAACTCGTACATAAATTTAATTACAAAAAAGTAAAACTTAAGACTTAATATTTTTTTTTCAGTAATAGCTATTTATATAATTAGTTAAAAAATATTAGATTTCCATCAAATATTTAAACGGTAAATCAAATATAAAGTCAATTAAATATTTATAACACATTTTTAGATAAAAAACCTAGAATAAAATTAATTTTTTAAAATATTTTTAAATTCCTTATGTAATTTAAATGTTCAAACCTGAAACTACTTGTAAAATAATCCTTTTATTTGTAAAATTCTTTCCTTGTTGTTTATTTGCCATTTTATATATATATATATATATTGGTGTAAATTCTTTTTTTATGAATTAACTTTCATGTTGAAGTATTGCGTACCCAATAGTAAAGGCAAAGAATAGATTAAATCTATTCTGTGGTAAAAGCATTGATATGAGTATATTTAATTAATGCTACTAAATGAAACCAATAAAAGTATATACTATTAGGTATAAATCAAAAGAATAAATGTCTGATTTTAATTGTGAGTTTTTAAAACTAAAAATTTAAAAGTATGATAATGATACAAATTTATAAAATTATTGTTAAAACGATCAAGTATCAACGATACTTAAAAATTATGAAACCCAAACATAACACTGATATCACAGAATATATTACTGATAGTAAAGAACTGAGAGTGCTGATAAAAATGAAAGGACTGATACGGCTTGATATAATTATAGCACAGGTATCTATATTATATTATAATAATATAATATAATATAGTTAGTATAATATAGATATCTGTGAATTATAGTAAAAAGATAATTCGTTCTTGCCGGGTTGCATACATTGAACTATATGATAATATAGTTATCATATAGTTCAATGCGGGTACGTAACCGCGTTGTCGTTATCGCGCGTAGACGTGTTCCGTTGTTCCGTGTTTTCCAGTTTTTACGTTTCGCCGGATTCGCAAGTCGTGCACCCGGTGCCACAAATTGTCGCGAAGTTCTCGCGTTACGCTTTCGGCGTGATGGCGCTGAGACGTTTTACCGTCGACACGGTCGTAGCTCTCGTGATGAATGCCCTCGGCCCCGTCGTTCTTATCGTCTTGTCCGCTTTCGCGTCAACACGTCCGTTTTCGTGGATCGGCGGCCATCTCGTTGAAACCAAGTTTTCGGTTTTCGTGTCCTTCTCGTCGGCCGTCCGCTAAGTGTCGTTCCCAGCGATCCCATTGCTTTCACTCCTAAGCCACCAGGGCAGTCACTTGGCAACGGCCGTTGTGAACGACGTGGTTTTCATTCGTGTGTCATCGTCATCCGTCGTAGACCCGTCTCTCTTCTTTCGGCACTGTTGTTCAGCGGGGTCGCATGCACTCGGGGTCTGCGATAATTTTCGTATTAGTTGTTGTACTAATCACATCCCCTGTGCAGTCGTATGAAATCCGCCATCGTACACAGTCCCGCTTGAGGATTGGTCGACCATATTTGTTTCATTGTCGTGCAGAGGCCGACGGTCCTAACCGCCGTAGGCACATAATTATTATTATTATTCATAGAGCAACCGCCGTAGGCATATTATTATTAGGGCTTTGGATTTAATACACTAAAGAACCTAAAATATGCAATATTAAATGCCAAAAATTATAGTATAAAATTCATTTAAAATGGTTTTTAATTTAGTTTTTATATTTATATTAATATTAGGTACAGGATATTATACATTATTATACATTACCTATGCATAAATGTTTATTTAATAAAAAATAATAAAAATGTTAATAAAATTTGAATTTTCTACATGTACTAAATGCTATTCACTTTATAAACATTTTTATAATTTTTGTAAGTATTTGTTTTGTTAAAATAATGAAATAAACTTAAATATATTTATTTTCGGGTGCCTTATTCATCTTTAGTCTTTAGAATTTGATTAAAAATACCTAAAAATGAAATAAAAAAAGTAAAATATGACAAAAAAATTCACAAAAGTGATCTAAAAAGTCAAAAAATACAAAATAAAATTTGCATAAATGGAATCGTATTTACATAATTCAAACTATATACTTACCTAACCAATCACCAAAAAAAAAAAAAAAAAGGACTTTCCTACAAATTTACGACCCTAATTATTATTATTATAATTCATAGAGTAGCCACAGTAGGCATTTTATTATACTATTATATATCAGCATTTATAATATTATTTTTTTATACATTTATATTGATTAGATTAATATCATTGTATTCATTTATTTGAGTAATTTATGCTACCTGGTGAACAAACCAGCCCTCATATTATTGTAGGGCATTTACATGGGTCGGCCTTAGAAAATCTGTGGCCCAGTAGGACTATTCTTACTGTCCATATAATCTGGTCAGTCCACCTTTGTATATGTCTGCCAACGGAACTCGGTATCTTGGACGAGTCCGTTTTTGACCAAAACCGTACCCTTCCCTTTTCGGCCGATTCACTTTTCAACAAAATTTAAAATAGGTCGATTCACTTTTCGACCAAAACAAAAATACATTTCAAATAATAAAATAATGATATATAATGTTTGATTATGATGGAAATATTATAATATATTAATGACGATTCAGGGTTTTACTCGCGTAGCGTAATATAGAATATATATTATATAGAAATGTGTTGTATCCTATACAAGATGGGCTGTCATCAAATAAAAATGTTGCATGGTCGGGGATGACCAGTTAAAAATATTGAATTTTTAGGGAAGTTTTTCTACTATCATTGAATATATATTCTACCATAGCTTGGGAGTATAAAAAGAAAAAAGGATCTTAATATAAATAAATATAGATCGGTTCAAATAATTATTTTAAAGGTTAACACATAAATATAACTTACTGGCTATGGACGTCTATATAAGACAATACAGAATTTGACTACTTCAGTTGGTCATCAAGGATTAACTGCTGTTTCTTATACATAAACTGGATATTCTGGCATTAGCCATATGGTAAAGTAGATTAGAGGTGACGTGGTGCCTAATCAGTTTATACAAATATAAACATGCGATGAATAATTGAAAATGTTGATTAATCAAGACTTTTTATTTAACAAATTTTAATAATTTTTTTATATAATATAACATTTTATTAAACTTATATTATATAAATTCATACCTACTATAATTGTCATTTTATAAAAGTATCAAGGCTTGATATTTGAAATTTAATAAAAAAACCATATTAATATAATATTACCTATTCCTAACTGGAAAATATACAACAGCTCCAATTTCATGCCACAATTTATTGTTTTTTCAGGTTTTTTATAATCGGGGTGTCTTATCATTCCATAAAGATGGTTTTCCCTGCACTTCTGTTATGAGAAGTTTTCGACTTGCATTTGTAAAATGTACTTTTTGAGAGCACATGATGTTCTATAAAACACATTTTAATTAATACCAATGCAAAATATAAATACAACGCCCAACAACAACGCTCACAAATCAAGTCGTCTTGAAATATAAACAACGCATCGGCACAGCGCATCGCAAACGCTCAACGCCCGGAATCAGTATGATCACAGTTCTGATAAAATTACCGTGTTTGATTTATTTTTGTCAACGCCCGCCGCTTATCGCCCATCGCTCACCGCGCAATGCTATCAAATGTGCACGCGGCCTACCTGTCCGTCTCGAATATTCTAGAAAAGTTGAGACTATTCTCGTTAATTATCGAACTGTACCCAACAAGAAGTAAAGTATGTAGTAAATATAAATAAATAAACGCCACAATTATATGCTTATATGTCTACATTGAAGTAGTATAAAATTGCTTTAATCCTAAATAGCAGTGGCGTGGCGAAGGGCTATATTTGAGGCACGTGCCTCAGTTTGAGGGGGGGTAGGTGTCCTATCTCACAAGGGACTTGGGCTCTATCTCACACTAAGAAAATATTTGCTAAGTTACCATATATTCATTTTAATACTCGTAATTATAATATTGGATCGTAGTGCAGACGTGCAGTACCTACTAACACTCGCCAGTCGCCACACGGCATACGGATACGGTATCATTTTCCACAACGAGATGGACTTCTCATGACCGTGTCATCATTGTTATCTTTGAAAAATATAAAGCATTATATGCAACTTTAAAATGTTTACTTAAATCAACTGACAGAGTAACATCATCTGGTGCAAAAAATTTCTTGAACGTAATATCATCGTTTGATTTTGTTATAACAATGATATTATTAAGAAAAATATTTTCAATTACAACACCACTATCGAATTACTTACAATCTAAATCAGTAGACTTTATTGAAGCGCTGCGTTTAATCAATACTTCTAAAGAACAATTAGCTAAAATGAGAAGTGACAAAAAATATGAGGAACTGGTAGAGGAAGCAAAACAATTTGCTAACCATCATAAACTAATAGAGGTCAACTTTAAAGAATCAAGAAAACGTGCTAAAAAAATTTTACCTGGAGAAAAAGCTTCAGATGAAATACAGAGCTCATCATTCGACAAGTATCGATGTCATACATACTTTGCAATTTTGGATAAAGTAATTACTTCAATTCAATCTCGATTCAATGACTCTAACAATATATTAAAAGATTTTACACTTTTATCCCCTGAAAGATTAAGGACATTTAAAAATGAAAATCAACAGCTTCCACAAGATAGTTTTACTGACCTAGTGGCTTGGTTACCAGAAATTGATATAAATCAACTACGTAATGAATACATTATTTTTTCTAAAAGTTTTGATGATCTGACATCAGGTATAGATTTACCTACTTTATTACATTGCCCAGAATCTATATCATCGAGTGAAAGTTGTGAAGAAGAAGAAAAAAATATAACTCAAGATGAACAAATTAATATGACAAAAATTGGTGTTAGTACTATTCTTTATACATTGTCCAAGTATGATTTGTCAGCAGCGTTTCCCAATTTGTATATAGCATACAAAGTCTTAGGGACTATACCAGTTACATCTGCATCTGTGGAAAGATCATTTTCTAAAGTAAGTTTGATTTTAAAAATCAATATTCTTCTGCTTCTAAAATATAAATGTTCTCAATCTCTAAGCTTTTAATTAATATCTATATATTTAATTGTCTTGTTTTGTATTATAAAGGTTTGGATTTTAAATCTTGGTAACTTTTATGGGGTGAAAGTTTAAAATGAAAAATAGAGTTTAAGATTTTTGTGAAGGTCTCATAGTATTTATAATAACTTACCTTTTCAGAACTATACAATTACAGTATTTTATAAATTAAACTTATCACTAGGGAGTAGATGTTTATGCTCTAAAAACATTTAAAATATACATGCAATTATGCACTTTAAAGTATAAAAATATGCATCAATAACATTTTTTATTTAATAATAATTTAAAAATAATTAAATTAAATTCATTATTATTAAAATTAAAAATTAAATGTTGAATTTTTTGTTAATCTTAAAATAATATAGTTGGGTATATATTAGAAACCAAGTACTGGCTGTTATTAAAAAATGTGATAAATGCATTAACATCTGCTCCTTACTTATTATTAATTACAATTATTGTATTATTTTCAGGTTAAACTTATTAAGACACGTCTACGTTCTACAATGGGCCAGGAACGTTTGGAAAGTTTAATGTTTTTGAGCTGTGAAAGGGACATCAAAATTGATTATGAAGAGACAATAACACTCTTGGGAAGATCATCTGATGTGTTAAAAAACGCATTATTATTTAAATGAATAAATATATATTTTCTTAAAAAATTTTTTAATGCTTTTTGTGATGGGTTGAGTGGGTGGTGGGTCTGACAATATAACTTGTGCCTCATAACTTAATTAAGTTCGCCACGCCACTGCTAAATAGTATACATTCCGTCCGTATACAGTCCGTTGCTAGGCTGGGTTATTCAGCTAGTCCTAATATATTGTCCATTAAAAAAAATACGTTTTAGAAATTAATGGTTTAAAGATTCTGTAACCACTATATTAGCTTATTTACATTATTCCTGGGCTTTTCTTTTTTTTAATTATTATATATTATTTTTATTTTTTATGAGGAGTAGTGATCTTTAAGACAACAGCCTTCCTATATTATATAAATACGAATACAGTTAATACGTAACACATGAAATAAATAAATACATTTTATATTATCTATAAATGTTATATTATTTTAAATTATTAATCTAATATTTATGAGAAGTACATATATATATATATATACATGTGTGATTACATAATAATAATAAATAATAAAAATAATTTATAAATGTATATTTTCAACACACAGATTATCAATAATTGACTTAACTAAGTACTTTTGTTTAATTAAAATTGTTGAAATATGTCCATGCAATATCATATATACACGTAGCACCTTTTTGAGATATTTTTTTCTTCATTTTAAAAAGAAGAAAAAAATAAGAAAAAAAATTAATAAAAATATATAAAAATAAATTCAAATGTTCCAGCCAAAAAAAGTTCAATTATTAACGTGAAGAATTAAATTATAATTAGTAATATAATTTAGTACATATTATGTCATATTATATTATCACACTTAAGAAAATTTTAATCTAAGGATATACTAGGTAACACACAGCATTATAAATTACTTATAGTTAATGGACCGCTAAAATGAATAATAACGAACGCCAATAAGGATCCGTATCTTGCTATTCAGGATCATAAATAATTCTGGAGACATTGTGCGTATTTTTGTTTTTAAAAGATAAACAATTTTAACGTTTTATCTAATTGCATAAGATAAAATGAGTAAATATTACCACGCGTTTATCCGTTTACACTAATTAAATAAAATATACATATATTATTATTATGTACATAACGATGTCTAGTAATCAAAGGATAACTAAACATAAGATTAACTGACTAATTACAAATTTAGCCAATGCTATTGATTAATGTGAAATTTTCGGTTTTTTTTTTAGCCTCCAATACAAATGGTTAATCTAACCAACCGCTTTCGGCTAATAACTATAAAACATTAGCCATACAATAAAAACTAAATTTAAATTTGTATTCATATCTTGGATAGTTGGACAGAGGTAGACCATGCACGTGGTAAGTAATATTATACTCAGATTTTTCAGCTATGTATTTCGTCTGTTTAAAATCGTATGTTGTCTATTTATCGTCTGTGATCTTAATATTAGGTGTAATTTGAAAAAAAATTAACTCCGAAAATCTATTATATGAAAATGTAATTAAAATAAGTTCTAGTAAAAGGGAAGATAACAGTGGTTCTTTACGTCTGAAAAATATAGCGGCATTATTAATGTAGTGAAGTGCGCGAAATTAGTTGCGATAAAAACATCGTTGAACTAACCGATGCCATTCAGATTGGAGACGAAGGAAAACTCACTGAACCTACGTAAAGGAAAAATTTTATATTACGTGAAAAAATGAAGATTTGTACAAAATATTATACGAAACACATATAAATTTTGAGTACGATGAAAAACATCGAATTATATCAGTCATTATCAGGAGGTCAAGGTTTTCATAAATTTTTTTGTAAAAGTGGTTGTATAAATAAAAAAATTTAAATGTAAAAATTGATCTGTATTACAAGTAATTCAAAAATACCATAACAGTTTAACGTGAAGCAAGGACGTACATAAGGAGGGGTCGGGTCCGGACCCCCATTGAAATTTCTACATACTCAAAGATTTAATAGTAAATAGTATAATAATAGTATATCGTGTATTTTAATTTCCTATTATCTTCAATATACAAAGTTTATAGATTATATAATATACCTATAGTGTATAAGCCATACTATAGTATATTAACAGTAATTTGTTGGTATTGAGTTAAACTATAATTATAATTGGAGATAAAATAAAAATTTTGGACCTCCCCCCACATAAGAAATTCCTGGGTATGCTTCTAACGTGAAGTGATGATTAAATAAAAAAAATGAATTAATCTATTCTATTTTTTAAAGTACGAATAGGTATCTATTTTTAAATTGAAACTTTTCGCGTGACTTATATCGTTACATTACTTGTTTGGGTAATGTTATTTGTTCATTAGTTATATGCAGCTGGATGTTAATTTTTTATGGATAAGGTGGATTAAAATGTTAACATAGCATTGGTTAAAACCAATTGACCGGCTAATCTTTAGTAAAATCGTAAAACACATAAATGGTTAACTGATAATATGATAAGTAATCAGATATACCTCTTAATTTATAGAATGAATATTTTAAGTCATATCAGAACATATTCAAATTTTCTATATTCATACTTGCAATAGAATTTAAAGTACATTGATATTGTATATAGTGTTGTAACATTCTAGTTTAAAGTATTATGAATACAATTTTTGATGAAGTGTTACAACATTTAGATTCTTTTTTAATTATCGAATTTGATTATAGCAATGTTAATAATTCGCTAGATTTTTTATTTCGAAAATCATATAAAGGTAAGAATATGTTGAGAATTAGTTATATATTTTAATTTATTTTCATATTCCTTTTTATCACACAATAGTGCTTTCTGTTAGAAAGCAGTACCCAAGTTACAATTAATAATAACATTGTTGAATATGTGATTTATGAATTTATACTCTTAGAAAATGGATTATTTATAATATAAAATAATATTTTATTAATTTTACTGATTGAGTGTTTATGATGAGTTAATTAATGTTAAAAAAGATTCAATATTTTTTAGGAAAAATTTGGAAATGGGTTTTATAATTTTTAAGTTTGTCTTTTAAAATAGTTTTTATAATTAAGGTAAAAATTTGTTTATATGTTATGATAATTTACAATCAATATTATTTTAAGCTTACCAATCAAATGATTTAACAGTAGCAGTTTTAAGTGTTGAGGCTGTTTTGGAAAAAATATGGGAATCACTTCATACTGGTTCTTGGGCTGATGCTTCAGATTGTATGCGAAAACTTTATTCTCATGCAAGTTTGCTTAAAGTAATTTGAAATATAATAATACATTTTGTGTTGAACCTTAAATATAGTATTAATCTTTTAATTTGATGTAGGCAAAGTTGCTGTTGAAAACTCCTTCCGATGAAAGCATGTTGAAAAAAGCTATCAAAGCAGTTGATATGGGATTGTTAATGGGCAATGCATTCAGAAATGAATTAACTAAAACTGCATCATTACTGTGTTTAATTCTTCAGCAATATTATATTGGTACAAAAATTATTGTGGTAATGTGTTTTTGAAATAAAAATGTTATAATTATGTTTTATTTTTAGAATCTCCTGAATTAGTGTATAATGAAAACAAATTAAGTTATAATAACTATACACTTCATAGAATTGGTGACTATGTTCCAGCATTAAATCAACCATCCTTAGAAACCCTCTCGAGAGATTTTCTTAAACCTAAATTACCTGTTAAAATTACAGGTAAAGTATAACAAAATTTAACTTTATAAAATTATGATATTTACTAATTTAAGAACCAAAACTTTTCGGTTTGTCTGAAGTAGAGAAAGTGACCATTTAGTGATAATTATATAAATTTAGCAGGCTCAAGATTACTTTCAATAATGTATCCAAAAAATTTTTCAGAATACCTGTAACGATGAATTTAATTTTTAACTAATCTAAAGCTGTATTTTTTATTTTTTTGTAATAATTAAAAGTTTTCTACTGGAATGAAACTTGATAAATCGTAAAAAAATGTTCTAAAATATTAGTTTCTAATTTAATAATTATAAATAAGTATATTAGAGCAGCGATTCTCTACCGTGGGGGTCGCATCATGTTAAAAAAAAATATTGAAATTTACATAATTTTTATTTATTTTTTCTATTAATTAACGCCAATCGGCTTTTATAATATATTTATTTTTGTAAAATAAATACAATAATAACAGTTTGGAAAATGTTTTCAATACTTACATTAGAAAAGGGTTATTAAACATATTGTTGTCATTATAGGGGTTGCAAACTCAAAAAGGTTGAGATCGCTGTATTAGAGGATAATGGATAGAATCTGATTATTTTTTAGTGTTAAATGAGTCTTATTAAGACAAGTATTAAACAAAATGTATGCATATATCAATTTAAAGTATACTTTTTTTCTTATTACTTTAACCTAATATAGGTTAAAATAAAAATGAAAATAGTTATTAATAATATCTACCATAAATAACCTTTAGCATTGTAATATTATGTTAATAACTGGACAATATTACAGGTAGTATGAAACATTGGCCTGCTATAAGCAAATGGAAAGATTTAAATTATCTTATAAAATTAGCTGGAGCTAGGTTAGTTCCTGTTGAAATAGGATCATCTTATGCAGATGCTGAATGGAGTCAAAAATTAATAACCTTGGAAGAATTCATCAAGAATCGTATTGTTCAAAAAAATGAAAAACCAGCATATCTTGCACAACATCAACTTTTCAATCAGGTAAAAAAATTAATGATAAAAGAATAACAAGTTATCATCTGTTGCCCATTTTAGATTCCAGAGTTGAAAGATGATATTATAATCCCAGATTATTGTTATTTAACAGATATGGATGGTGAAGAGCCAGATATCAATGCTTGGTTAGGTCCTAAGGGCACTGTGTCTCCTACTCATCATGATCCAAAAAATAACTTTTTAGCTCAAGTAATTTTTAAAAATATTTATATACCTAAATATGTAATTTAATATCTATAGTTGTTTTATATATAGGTGATTGGCTCTAAAGATATTATTTTATACGACCCCAAATGGTCTGAATTTTTGTACCCATATGAAGATAAATTTCTTACGAATACTGCTCAGGTAAATCCAGTAAAGCCAGATTTGAATAAGTTTCCCAATTTTTCTCAAGCAAAGGCCATGTTGTGTACATTAAATGAAGGTATGCATTTTTTAAATAGATGTATAAATATGAGTAAATAATGTAAATTGCAATTTTTGATTTCTTGAAAAAAAAAAAAATGTTTTTTCTTTTATCTGAGACATTACGTTAAAGTAGTTATTTTCAAATCTAATATTAATACTAAAATTGGTAATATTTTAATATTTGTTAGTTAAATAATTATCTTAAATTTCAGAACAATTTTTATTAGTAAAATAATAATTTTTTTTATACATAATTAAGATTCCAGTGCAATAATATTTAACGACAGTTATTGTGAATTAAAAATATATCTATTCTATAAATGTTAACAGGTATAATATGAAATAATTTCACAGCAATTTTGCATTTAAAGTCTTAATAAAGACATCTTAATAAAAACTACATTTGTCCCCATTCTATACTAAATATCATTATCATTAGGTAATTACTTATTACTTTATAACATCTAAAGTAATAAGTCCAATTTTAGGATAATGATAAACAGGCAATTCAGAAAAAAAATGTAGAGGCTCTTTGAAATATTTAATATTTACATCTTTGTTGATGTCTAATATTGTATTAATTTCAACAGGGCTTAACTTTTTTTAATTATGTTTATGTTGCAGGAGAAATGTTATTTATACCATCTGGTTGGTGGCATAGAGTTGAATCTCTTTCTGTAAGTTTTTCGGTAAGTTTTTGGTGGATGTAGGTTCATATGATTTATAATTTATATTTGTTCATGGTATCATATTGTTATACAAATTGAATAAAACCATTATTTATAGTTAAAATTATTGTAATACATTTTATTAAAATACAATAAAATATTAAAATTTTTGTTTAAAGTAATATTTTTTTTATTGAACAATTTCAAAATATCAACATGCTAAAAGATGTTAGACTTCCCACTTGAAATATATTTTTTTTTAATTTATTTTTGTTAGTATTTTTCTTAAAACACTAACTATTGACTTCAAATCAAAATTAGTAAGATATCATGGTAAAAGAACCTAAGTACTAAGTTTTTCTGAGAATTTTCATTATATGATGAAAATTTGTGATGAAGTCAGTATAACAATAATTAGTCCATCCTTTAAGACAGCGTTTCTTAAATTGTGTTCCTCGGAACCCTGGGATTCCGAGAAAGCTTAAGTCATTATTTAAAAATATTTAAGAAAATTATTTTAAAATTTCCAACTAAAGATTAGCAATGGTGAAAAAATGTTTGCATTACAGAAAAAAAAAATCTTTGTATATTAAATAACGATGTATAAGCCATATGGAATAGTCTAAATTTATATTTAGTCTAATTAAAGTAATTATTATTAAATTAATATTATATATGTATACAATTATTATTAATTTAATTGTTATTTTAACATATTAAAAATATTATATTTAATATTTATATTAAAAAATTGAGGTTATCTCTAATGTCAACTAATTTTTTCATAAAAAAAAAACGACAAAAGCCATCACAATTTTGTAAAATTGGATAGAAACAAATCTGGACTCTCGTCCTCACCACGCTATAAAATGTAAGTTAAACCTAAACTGATGTTTTTCCAACACCAGGCACGTCGTCAGGGGGGGGGCCTTAGGGAGCTTGGCCCCTTGATTTTGATTTTTAAATATTATGGTGTTTAGTTGTCCCATACCGGCTAAATCCTGAATGTATATTCCATAAGGGCGATTTTAAACTCCGCTAAAATATTGGTTAAGATAAAAAGATAATAAAAGGTCTAGTGTAAACTCCGTCAGTTTTTTTTTTTACCTATAATGGGTATATGAAATCTCCAGTTTTTTTTGTTCACCTGCTCAGTGCTCACATTGCCACGTGCCTTCTCACATTAAATACGTTGACATCTATTGCGATGATGTATGTCGAAATTGATAAAATTATTGTTATGGCTCCATTCATTTCAAGGTAGATATATATCCATATTGATTCGCTTATTAATAATTTTATCTTCATATTATTTGAAATTAGTATTTCCATTGATGATGTCGTCAGTAGGTAAGGTATTCTTAAAGTATACTTTGACGAACATAATCGTTCGTAGCTGCGTGTCTTCGTGTATATTTTATATTGAACGAAATATGTTGCAACAAAGTAATAATATAAAATTAATTACTGGTCAACGAGGCAATTTATTGGTTTTATTTAACAACTACATTTATAACCAAAATATAAAATATGCCAGACGGTGAAATAAAATGGAGGTACGATATTATATAATATTTTAATAATAATATTCACTTATTATTACTTATTACGTATTACTTTTAATAATATATCATATTAATTTTATACTACTACTCGATTTTCTTCACTGGCAGTGTTTACATGTATTAAATTTTATATAATTTTTTTTAGTGGCGGAGTTTACATGAACCCAATTTTACCTGTTTTATTTTTCTAGTTAACAGTAAAAAATGGTACTTGTGGCGGAGTTTACATGCGCCCATTCCATATAATTAACGATCGTATAACAAAAATTGAATTCTGAGATTCTATTTTATAAATATTTGTCACTTGATAATTTGAGATAAGACAATAGTACGTGTATTAATAGATTGAAAACTAGGAATTCCAAATACGGATATCGAAGGCACATTTGATAAATGTAACTACAAAAAGGGGCCAAAAAATGTTGGCCTCCTTATAGAAATATGTCTGGTTACGTGCCTGTCTAACACCGTAAGCTGTGACTATGACTTTTTGTATATTAAATGTATGCTTTTTAGTGATAATGGTTTAAATTGTGGAATAATATAGAAAGTTTTTTTTTTTTTTGGGTTTAAGTAGTATTAAAAACTTTGTTCTCTTTTAAAATTTATAAATATTTGTATAATTACATAGATCAATCAAAATTGTTTTAATGAAAATTAAAAACCAATTATAAATAATAATAATATTATATTTAATCGCGGTTATAACCGTTATTCGAAATCGTGGATCATTGATCCTTATCGTTATCATTACCGCCAAAATATTGTGTGATAACAATGTTTTGTTGACAATTGTTCAGTTTATTAAGTACAAACCTATTTACTGTTATTTTTCATGTTTTAATTTTACTTGTATCAATTAAATAATTTTGTAAATGTTTACTTATTAGTAAACATAATTTATATTTAATTTATTAATTTTTTATAATATGAGATATGAGTACTACTTGTGACATTATGGAGCTTATGAAAGGTTACGGCACAGAATTCAACATGTCCACTGTTATGCAGTGTGTTCAAGAATTAAAAACTTGGCAAGAATCACAACAACAGAAACTATGTGAAAACCCCACAATGGACACTTTGACTAACGAAATGGATGACGTTTTAAAATCATTTGATATTCCTGAAAATGTTCAAGGTATTACTAAATTTAATCTTAAAATCATACTCTGTTGAAATACATATTTAATTGTGAACTTAGCAAGGAACGTTTTGGGTTTATAAAAATGATTTTTTTAATGTATCTAATATAACTCTAACTACATCAAAAGTATTATTAGATAGGAATGGTTCTTGTAAGGAATTTGTATATCCTATTATTTTATTAAACAAACATAGCATTTAATGAAATTATCAACTAAGAAATTTTAGTTTTTTAAAATTGAATATAAGACTATCAATATAATAAGTCATGTAAAGCTCAATTTATTTATCATTTATTTTACATTAATCTTATATTGCTGTTATTGCTATTTGTGAATTAATTTGTTTTCCTTTAAATATAATTTATTTCAGATAATAAGTATGACAGTAAGGTGTCTTCATATTCAGAAATAGATGAGGAATTATTGCAAAAATTTGGTTACCAAATTCCATCTGTAAGAAATATTCATAAAAAATAAATGACATAGATAATTTCATTAATTTTATTTATTTAGATTTCAAAAATTCAAGATAATGTAGAGGTATTGTCAATAAATGAGGAAGATGATAACATTTGCAAAGCCAAATCAATGAGTTCCAATATAAATACTGTAAAAGATGATCAATTTGGATGTGAAAATGAAATTGAATGTCAGAATAACAAACCTAAAAAGCCATATTTAAAAAAAGGAACAGGTTTGGCTCGATATGGCTTAAATTTAGATGAAATAAAAAAAAAAACTGGGAAATTAAAATTTCAAAAACCAGTAAAAGCTGTTACATCAAAAATTAAAGTACCAAGAAAGTGTTTAAATCAAGTTCAAGCATTTCCTAAAGTTGAAATTGGTAAGTTAATTTTATTTTCATTTGAAAATGGGTAAATAATCATTGATTTTTTTTTTCTTAGTAAATAAATCAATTGAAAGTACTCGTCTAGATTTAAAAAAATGTAATATCACTAATTCATGGAATAGATATGAGCCTAAAAGTTCTCCAAATTATGAAGAAAATGACAACAATAAAGAGCAAAGAGAACTGCGGGCCTTTGAGATATTAGAAGAACGTGCTAACAATTCAAATCTGACTGCATCATCACCAACCGTGTGTCATCTTTTGGAAAAAGGTTATCTTTCCAAGCGTGATAAAGAAGTTCAAACATCAGGATTAGTTCGTTCTTTAAACTTTGACAAAATAAATGCATCTACTCCTTTACGAAAAGCCAACGATTCTGATGATTCATACTCTGATTCTAGTCAGGAGTTTGATCCTTTGGATTTATCACAAAATATGGTAGATAATACTAATTTTAATGTTAGTGAAAAGAATAATAAATATATAAAAACTGATCCCATTATTTTAACAGAAAATGAAAATAAATATTTAGAAAATTATATTAAATCTTCAGAAATAATGAAACACAATAACTTTAATCAATCGTTTGATACAGAAGTACTCAGTAAGAGACTTGAAGAATTAGAATCTGAGATTGAAACATTTCGTGCTGAAAATATTAAATTAATGAAATTACAAAGAGAGTTTGAAGCTGAAAGACAAAAATTTTTTAAGAGTAAAGATGAGTTTATAAAAAAATTAAACGAAGAAAAAAAAAATGAAGAAGAAAAGTTAGCCGAAGAGAGAAAGAAATTCATTAAAGAAAAAGTTGTATTTGAGAAAAATATCAGAGAATTAAGAAACAAACCCAATAGACTAGAAAGAGAAGAAATAAAAAAACTGAAAGAACAGGTTTAGTTTACGTTTTATATATAAATGTATATTGATGATTTTAAATTTATATTTAAATTTATAGGTAAATGAGCTTAAAGATGAATTTAATAAAAAAGAAACCCGATGGGCAACTGCTCAGGCACGACTGAGAACACAGATGAAAGTATTAGAAAATAGTAACACAGCATTGCGCAATGAACTAGATTTGTTGAGAAAAACTTCATTAACTAAAAAAGTAAGTTTTAGTAAATATTATTTTAACAAGATGAAAAATATCTGAATTTATTTTTACAGGTCACTTTTAAAACTCTGTCTGAAAAACAAGCTTTGAGAAACACCAAACTCATACATAACGTCAATAAGGAACTCAGTAAGCTTACTCCTGATGATGTATTATCAATGGTTGATTCAAAATCAAAAAATATTCCCGCTTCTATTTTGAGAAAACCAATAATTATGTCTACTAATGATAATGAGTCTTCTGAGGATTTGTTATCTGATGAAAATCAATTTCTTATACATTCTGATGATAGTGAAAATGATGATTCTAATTGCAATGGATCTAGCAGTACTCGACGAAGTAGTTGTGATATAGTACGTGAAACAATTTTGGATGATGGACGTAAAGAAATTTTGTACTCTAATGGTAATTTGAAAAAGATTTCACCTGATGGCACCAATATAAAAGTAATATATTATAATGGTGATGTGAAAGAAACAAAAGAAGATTCAGAACGATATTATTTTGCTAATAATAAAACATACCATACAACTTTCAATACCGGTTTGGAAATAATCGAATTTCCTAAGTGAGTTCATTATAATATATTCTTTTTCTATACTGGTTAGCTATTAAATTACTATTTTCACAAACATATAGTGGACAAACTGAAAAGCATCACAAAGATGGTAAAGTAGAAATTGAGTATGTAGATGGTAAAAAGCATACTGTATACCCAGACCGTAAAGAAATTTGGAATTACTTAGATGGTTCAGTATTGACAGTAGAACCAAATGGTCATCGCGAATTAGTACTACTAAATGGCCAACGAGAAATACACACCAATGAATTTAAAGTATGTTTCTTTATATTTTTAAATTATAAGTGAATAGTTAACTTCATTTTATGTAATACAATAATTATCAAATATAAGAGTATGAAATTCCAACGATTAAATTATTATTTTTCTATTTTATTTTTTATCATATTTTTAAATTCATTTTGATAGATTATAATATTTATTCATTTTTTTTTTTTGTTTTATTTCCATAAATTATATAATTTATTATATACTAATATTTACTGCCAATAATAATACATACATATTATATTAATGGAAGTCTATTTGTTATATAGAAAAGAGTATATCCTGATGGTACAGAAAAAATTGTTTATCCAGATGGATCGCATGAAACTAAATATCCTGATGGCAGAATTAGAAAAAAAGACAAAGATGGTCACTTGATATTAGACACTAGTGTTTCTTCTTAAGTGGTTTTTAAATGTTGATAATTAAAAATTGTTGGTTCTCTATTAAAGTAATATATTTTTATATCTTTTTAAATTTTTTTAATATTTTATAACAAAAACTAGTTGGAATATTTGAAATATGTAATGTAATAATTTATATTTATATATTTATTTTACTTTATGACAAAAAATATTATTATTTATATGTAATTAATTTGTAATAAAATTTTATATTCTTTTTCATTACTATTATTATTATTCAAAATTAGATATCTAAACAGAATTTTGAATTTACATAATAATAGTGTCTTTAAAATTCAAATTACATTTTAGGTTCGGCCAAATGTAATTTAATATTGAATTATTTATAGAACTTATCTTTTGATAAGTAATTTGATTATTTTCTTTTTAGTCCTTCAGACTGGATTTCATATGAATTACTTGAACATAGTTGATTTATACTCAATATGTTCTTTTTGATGCAATATTATATTTTAAATTCAGAACTACTTTTATTAAGGTGTATTTTATTGTTTAGATTTGAATATAACATAGTACATATTTATACTTGGATATTGAATTTGATAACACTGAAGTATAAAAATTAATACTATATCGAAAAGTTGTACCTTATTTTTATGTTTATCGTGTATTTTTTTTTCAACATGCAATGATGATGTAAGAATATATATAAATATGATTTCATGTTATTTCTTTTAAATTTATTCAAATAACTGAATATGTTCTTCAAATGAACAACATTATTCAATTTACCATAGTATGAAAGTTATTCATAATCAACAAAGAAAAAATTATTACATTTTGGGTATAAAAAATAAAGTTTTACTTTTTACTAGTATAAATACCATAAAATAATTAGTCTACTCAAGTACTTATTATTTTTTTACAAGTATAACAATACCAAATAATAATGAAAAATATACAATTCTTCTAGTAATGTTAGTGTTACTAGGTTTACAAAAAAAAAAACCCAACAAAAATACTGAAGCCAAAAAAAAAAAAAATTAGCATATAAATTTAGAAATGCAAAATATTAAAAATACTTAAGACGTATTCGCCTATCAGTTGTATTATGTTGAATTAATCATCTTTCTTTGATTCGTTTCCAGCAGTCTTCTGAAGTTTTTCATGTTCAACTAAGAGTCTGTCATATTCTTTGCTTACCGATTCTGCTTGACTTTTGATTGCATCCCGATCAGCCTTGATGGATTCTAGTTCTTTAGTGAGTTTTTTCATTGCTTCAGACTCGCCGTCAAGGTTCTCCTTTTGCGATAACAAAGATATGGATGCTTTGCTAGCGCTTTCTGCTTGTTTCAACGATGCTTCACTTTGGGCTATCAATGACGCTTGGAGCGTCATCAGAGCTATGAAACGTTTGATGACAAAACTCAGGAACAGCGCGATGCCGCTAATATAAAAGTTACGTTGTGCGCGGAACAGGCGCATGTTGGCCTGCATCTCGTGGTCAAGATGTTGATGAGCGTCACTGAGCTCGGGATTGGAGTATTTACGCATCTCACGTATTGAGTCCAACAGGAACAGGACGAGGATGCACAACAAGAACGTGAAATACCATTGGGCCTGCGAGCTGAGCGCCTGATAGAACCGGGAACGGAACAGACGGTTCCAGCGTTTGGCTGACATGTATGGCACCAGAAACAGCATCAGCACTCCCACTTCGAAGTACAAAAACGTCGCGATGATAGTCCACTGAAGACTCATGGCGATCTCGTGTTATTTCGGGTTCCTATTCGACAACGACAAGTTGCAGTGATGGTCGCGGTCAATCAAGTAGGTACGTGCAACTGCTTTGACGAACACAATTACGGTCAAAATACAATCAATGTTGAAATCCCGATAAAATAGAAGCAAATAATAATCGTATAAAACACTCAACGCGGACGTCACGGGTGTAAAAATAATCGTATGAATCACCGCCGCGTGAAAAATGTTTAAATGATGTACACGAGAAAGATCGGTATTGCGATGGTCAATGGTTCAACGCGATTGACGGAAAAAAAATATGATTTATCATCGCAATCCAAAAATGTTAAACGTTATCAGTGAAAAGTGATAATATACACACGTATACAGCTCATAGAGTAATATCACAGATGAAATTTCATCTATTCTGTGGTTGTATTACTCTATGATCAGTAGCGGTACGTGAATAAAATTTATGGGGAGACTTAATTTTTGTGTAACTATTGGCTATTATTCAATTTTTGATAGCAAATTGTTATACTTTATTCTAAGTTTTTAATTTAACTAGGTACTGAAAAATTGATTGTTCGTAGTTTCTTGTATACAATATTGTGATAGGTTTATATATATATTAGCCACTGCCTAACTCCCCCCCTAAAACTGAAAGTTGATTTAAGCGTTCAAAAGTCTGATCTTAATTACTATTTAATTTGAAATTTTAATTTTTTCCCCCGAAAAAGTGACTGAATAGCCATTTCTTAATCATTATAACTGTTTTCATAATTAAAATTTAAAATAAATTACGAAAAAAAAAATTAAATACATAACCCTTGAAATGGTTTGAGTAATACGTTTAAATTGGGTAAATAAATAAAAACGTATTATATACTTAAATGAAAAACAAAATTAATCATAAAACGATTCTGTGTACAGTTGAGTTTTTAATATCACCAATAATGTTTTTCGGGATTTTAATTTATAGCCATTTCTTGTTCTGTAGTTGATAGTTATTTAATCTCGCTTGAATTATTGTACTTCTTAATTTCATTATCACATTAAATCGTTATTATAGCATATGATTTGTGTTTCAAAAATAAATTAAACTGTCTGGAGCTGAATATAAAAATATAATAAAAATCATAATGTAAAACAAAATCATATAGTATACGTAAGACCAAATATGTCAGAATTTTTATTTATTTTATGTAATTTTGGAAAAAAGACTTTATGTTTAGGGTATGCAGTTGCATATCCTGCATACCCTCTGCGCACGCCTATGTGTTCAATTTGAATTTTTCCCAAAAGATGAAATTGTTCTTGATTTTTCAAGTACCTATGTTTTTGAAATAGCATGTTTTTCTGCTTTTCTTATTATATTTTTTATAGTTGATATTCCATCAAAATTCCATTATTTTTCACCTCGAAAAAATACATTAATGAAACAAAAAACTTTGTTACGTTAATTACAACCACTAAGCCACGTACACTTTGAAATGTACGGGTAAATTTTCCGTTTTTATATTCAATCAATAAATACGGGGTCGGCTTTTTGTTTTTTGATTTACATTTTTCATCATACGTAAATAAATGAAAATCATTGTTTAATAATTCATTTAATGTACAATGTTTTAATTCCATTATTTCAATATTAAATTAAAAACGCCACAAGATTTAATGTACAAGATAACCCACTACACAAATATATGCAAAGAATAACGTGTCAGAGACTAGTCTCCCGGACTTCGTACAGTAATCATTATCGAAAATGGATTCCCCCCGAACTTTTATTTACCTCCTCCTATCAATTAGAATTGAGACTGTCGTTCGACCGTCTCATTTGTTTTACGATGCCGTCGTCCGTCTTTATCGCTGAATTCGAAAATAGCTAAGAACGTATTTTCATTAAATCATATGTATTCACACCACGATGGACATAATATAATACACACATGCATATATATAGTAAATATAGTTGACAACAGTATATTATTTACATATAGATTACACAAATACTTGAAAATAATTTAAAAAAATTAAAACAATTTTTTTTTCCGATGTTATAATTATTGGGGAGACGCCGTCTTAAAGGTTCCCCTGACGCACCACCACTGTCATACAGCTGCGCACTTATAACCCTGGTCCCGGTTAATCGGAGACGCGTTCGACAAAAGTAAAGGGGCCCGCTGTGTCTTCAATAACTTCACCGAGTTCGAGGCCGCACACTCATCACTAGGATTCAGAAGCTGTGGCTTCTGCAATGTTTTGTTAGGCAATTCAATTTATTGCTAAGTAAGCTTGAAAATATTTTCATGACACAACAAAAAACATATTAAAAGTTTATAGTGCATATTTAATGATTTAGTAATTTTAAATGCATATTTCTTAATTTTGCCATTTTTTAGAGCATATTTGATGATTATTTATAAATTAAGAATAATATTTAAATGTAAAAATAAAATGAGTAAATCGTAATAAAGTAAATCATTATAAGTAATCATAAGTAAGTAAATCATTATAAAAATTGAATTTTGATTAAAAAAATGTATTATGTATATATTTTATTATTTTTCTTAGAATATTTTACAGTATTTTTTTTGTATTATTATGCTCTATAGTTCATTAAGTTCCGAACCCTACTCATCACTATAGGAAAGGCCGGATTAAGCACCTATTGGGCCCCGGGGCTGAAATTTTAAATGGGTTCTTTTAACAAAACATGCTTTACAAAGCTCCTCGTTACGCTCGCAGAACGATACATTTTTTTAACTATTTCGCAAATTTATTGTGAAATTGTTCAAAAACTTGTGTCTCAAGCATAACACCAACAATCGCATTAAGTTTATAAAAATTAATTACATTTTAAGAATATTAAAAAAAAAAATGAAAACCAAAACAATTAAATTTAAATTAACTGAAAAATTAAGTGTAATAAAAATAATTATAAATATGTATGTTCCGTTATGACTACTAATGTATTTTATTAAATAAAATAATTATTATAATTTTGGTTTTAATAACACGAGACATTTTGTAAAAAAAATTATTCGAAAAATAAATTGATAAGGGAGTCTGCAATTTTTAAAAATCATTCATCAGGGGTCCATGATTTACAAAAGGTTAAGAACCGCTACTATAGTCTATTCATGAGTGTCCAGTCACTTGGACGAAAAACGTCTCACGTTCCAAAGTCTTCATCGTACAAGCATTACAAGTAGACTTTGGAATTAAATATAGACCATAGTGCATATCATCGATAAAATTTAATTTATAGTCATATTATTGTTTAATTGAATACTAATGTGATGCAATACGTCAAATGCCTAGTAAATAGCAATTGCATATCAGAAAAATAATTCATTATGTAAATTATTGTGTTTAATCAAGGAAGGGGTTCCCCCTGTTCATAGCTAACAAATATATTCATTTTTAACGAAATTATAAATTGACCAAATATTTAAACTGCTTATAACATATCAAATTTTAGTTCTTTAATTACATAAGTGTTCATTATAATGATCATTTCCTACCTGACGACACAGTTTTTTTTTATCAAGTATTAGTTTTAATTTCATTTTATTTTAACAATACAATTATTATTCAAATATACATTTTATATGAATATTATTAATGTATCAAGTGGTAAAACGGTCCTTTTTAATGCCAAGTTTGATGTTGGTGCCGACACGAGAAGTAATATTAATATATTGTGATTTTTTTTTATGTATCATTAAGTATCATTATCATTAATGGATCATAAAATAAGAATCGGTAAATCAAAGAATAAGGTAATAATAAAGTGTAATAAAGTCTAAAAATAAAAATGAATAAAGGTAAAAATCTTTTACCATTTATAATTTATTTTACAATTTTAAACTGTATATGAATGCGTAATTTTAAATTATAGTCACCCTATATTTTGACTATGTATTTAATATATATAAACATATTAACATATGGCACTTGTTATTATTCAAACAATTTATTTGATGAGTTGGTACATCAATCGTTGAAAATTTGACAAATTGTAGATATTGTTTTAGGTACCGATGTGAAAATACCTGGAAAAAATTCAAATTTTTTTAACTAATCTATAGATTAGAACTATTTATTATTTAATATTAATATAAATTATATAAATTTATTATTTCAAACTTAACATAAGATACGTTAAATACAACGTATCTTATGTTTAGTTTAAAACTATATGAATTACCTACTTCTTCTTCTTCACTGGCATTTATAACTCTATTAGAGCTTTTGCCGCCAACACCATATCCCTCCATTCCTCTCGATCTTGAATAATTTCCTTCCATTCCTGTACTCCCACAGCTTTAAGATCTTCTACTACGTCAAGCCATCTCTTCCTCGGTCTGCCTCGAGTTTTCTTCCTTTCTGGTTTCCATTATATTACTGCTTATTTTATTATATTATATTATATTACATTATATTATGGTTTCTTCTTCGCTTTTTCTCATGATATAAATATAATATAATATAATAAGAATAATTATAATAATTATTAATTTTGATTGATAAAATATAATGACCGTATAATTTAGATACCAAAACACACCTTAGTCATCGCTTTTCTAATTTTTTTATTTTTTTCTTAATTTGTTGTAGGTACTAAGAAGATTAGTTAAGCATATATGCGATTAAATAAAAAGTTATTAATGCTACATACTTAAGAGGACGTCTTATCCGCATGTATTGGCTCCGTCTGACATACATACAACATAGCAAATTTTGCATTCAGTGATTTAAATGTAGTGATGTTAGCTTTAATATTAGAGTAAACTAACCTATAATCAAACTTATCTGTATTTTGTTGGTCGGTTTTTTCCAATATTTTAATTTTCAGCGAGTTATGATGTTTTTTTAAATGTTATATTTTACATACTCATAACACGCTTAAAAATTAAAATATCGGAAAATCTGACCAAAAAAATACAGTACATGTTCTTCCCTTAAAGTTTGATTATAGGTCAGTTTACTCTAATATTAAAGCTAACTTCACTACATTTGAATCACTGAACGCAAATTTGCTATGTTGTACGACGGAGCATTTGAGTTGGGTTCCAAGTACTAGGGGCTAATCGCAGGTAGTGTACTAGTTGGGTCCGGATTTTTATTGGTTCTATACTAGTTGGGTCCTGAATTATTTTAGGTATTATACTAGTTCCTGAATATTTTTTGGCAAGTTCTACATTATACTAACATTTTCCTTCCTATTTTAACAGACTTAGGACTGTCTTTGTATGTACATATTATATAATATAATTATAGCCATTTAGATAAATGAAAAAATATTAAAAATGTTAAAACCATTATATAATATAAATAACAATTAACGGAAAAGAAACTAAAAAACAAAAAAAAAACTATAAAAAACATTTTTAACCATACCTGTGATTTAAATAGATCATAGACAGTCCTAAGTATGTTAAAATGGGAAGGAAAATATTCGTATAATGTAGTATTTACCAAAAAATATTCAGGAACTAGTGTATACTTAAATAATTCAAGACCCAACTAGTGTAGTACCTAAACAGTCTCAGAGGTTTTGAAACCCAAGTTAATTCTTATATATTTATTTAATTAGCTGGTGATTCAACTTATAAAATTGATGAAGAAATTTAAATGAAATGTATTTCATATATTAGGTAATTGAATACTCGATTCTGAATTAGTAATTATAATACGAAAAATTGTAATTTAAACAAAAATTAATGTTATCATTGACAATTTTCAAGATAAATACATGAATTAATTGACCTAAGTTTTTATATCACAAATTAAGTTAATACAATACAAATTTTAGTAGACTGACAACAAGATGAGCTATTTTAGTATATAAATAGATAATAACTAAATATTAAATGAACTAATTAATTAGTGAATTTAAGTAGATATTTTAGTAGACTGATGTCCGACAATAATATTAGAACCAACTGGTTTATTACTTCCAACTGGTGAACTATAATTTATTTTCACAACTGAATCAGAATAATCTGTAAAATTGATTACTTTAGGTTTTTGTAAGTCAACAATGAATTGTGTTCCAGGTAAGGGATTAGTAGGTCGAAGTCGATACTGATAAATAAATTTATCTACAGGTTGATTGACAACAATATTAGAACCTACTAGTGGTTTATTACCTCCAACTGGTAAATTATAATTTATGTTTAAAACAGAAGCAGAATAATCTGTAAAATTGATCACTTTTGGTTTTTGTAAGTCAACAATGAATTGTGTTCCAGGTAAGGGCTTAGAAGATTGAGGTTGATATTTATCTGTAGATTGAAATTGATACCGGTTTGTAAATTGAGTATTTAAATCAAAATTCGGACTAGAACTTTTGTTTGGGAACAATGATTCAAATACTGATGAATTTCTATTTAAACATTGTACTTTATCAGGAGAATCACATTTTAAACTATTAGGATTGAACAAAGTGCCTTCTGCACATGAGTTGACAGAACCTTGACCTTTATTACATCTTATATACTTTCTACAATCTGATGGAACAGGAAAAAGAGCTGTTGATTTTGGAAGGCAATTTTTTTTATCCCACAACAAAGCTGCATTACTCTTGTTTTCACGCTGTTTATTAGACTTTCTCATATAATTCATAGAAGTAATATATTCAGGTTTATTAATTTCTTCATTTTTGACCCCAGTATAAATGTTTTTATAAAATTCAGCCGACTTTAAGTGTTTTTTAGAAAACGATGCATTGATTAATGTACCTGGGTAATGACCAATACATAATATTTCATGGTGCATGAGAAATAAAAATACTAGAGTACTGTCACTCTTCATGTTGATGTACAGATTAGACTATACACATTAAAATTGTTCAATATTTATCATCAAAGGTTAAGTCATAGCTTTTATAAGCAACACTAAGATAGTACTATACATATATTATACAAAA